CCGTTCCCTTCCCCTCACATCATCAGGTGACGCTTTTCAACGAGACGAGCTCCCAGGACGAGGAGCTCTGCGCGCTCTCCCCTTTCAAGGCCCACCCTTGACCTTTTGTTGCTCCCCTTTCCTCCTTCCTCCGCCCCCTCACATCATCAGGTGACGCTGTTCAACGAGACCAGCCCCCAGGACGAGGAGATCCGCGCGCTCAACCCCTTCGAAGCCGCCTTCCGCCCTCGCTTTGACACCCTATCCGCCCATCTTTCCCCATTCCCCCCCCCCATCAGGTGACCCTCTTCAACGAGACGAGCCCCCAGGACGAGGAGATCCGCGCGCTCAACCCCTTCGAGGCGGCCTTCCGCCGCGCCAACCTCGTCACGGACGCCCCCCGCCGCGCCCCCGCCGCTGCTGACGCGGAGGAGGAGCTTCTGGTGGTGGAGAAGAAGGAAACCACCGAGGCAGCGGTAGAGACAGTGGCGGAGGCTGTAGAGGAGGCAGCAGAGGAGGCAGCAGAGGCAGTGGCGGCTGCTGTGGAGGAGGAGAAGGAGGAGAAGGTAGAGGAGGAGGCAGCTCCTGTGCCGCTTGAGGCTGTTGCTGCTGCTGAGCCTGCTGCGGCTGAAGCTGTTGCGGAAGTGGCGGAGGCTGTGGTGGTGGCGGATATCACGGCTGTGGAGGAGAAGAAGGAGGAGGCTGCTCCTGCTCCTGCCGCCACCCCCGCAGCAGGTAGCAGTGAGTAGTTTAGCAGGGGGAGAGTAGGCGAGGGGGGAGAGTAGGGGAGGGGGTAGGGTGCTGAAGGGGGGCCGAGCTAGTTGCGTCTGTTTGCATGGTGGAGGGATGTTGTTTAGGGCTCAGGGTTTCAAACGAGTTGTCTGGCTGTTTAACCCTTTTGTGTAACCTTTTACCTTGATAATGCAGAAATAATTTTCTCCAATCTGAAATTATCAAACCGCCCAGCAGCCTTCCTCACACGCCTCACCTCGCCTCAGCCTTCCTCCTCCCATTGCTTTCCCTCTATCCCTCCCCCACACTCACTCACTCCCCACCAAAAGCGTTCCTACCACAGCTTTCCACTCCACTGAGCCACCAACTACCCATTAACCGTGCCTCTCCTTACACATTCGCCTATACTCACTGCCCAGCCCTTGCTCACGAGTTCCGTACCAGTAGCCTGTTCTCGCTTGTTCACTAACAAACCTCCCTGGGGCTGCGCCTTTGCAGTCTGTCTCCTCTGGCTCCAAATTGACAGTTGCATAGTTCCACTTTTTGTTTCACATCTCCTCCCCACTTCACCCCCTTTCCTCCCCTAACCGCCCTCTCCTTCCTGTTCTCCCTCCGTTCTCCCTTTACTCTCTCTTTTGTTCATCACCTCCCCTGTCTTGGTCTGTTCTCCTCTCTCTCTTCCCCTGTCCTATTGTTCCTGAGGTGCCTAAAAAACGGACTCTCTCTCTCTCTCTTCCCCTGTCCTGGTGTTCCACTTTAACACCACCATACACTTTCACATGCCCATGCTTCCAACTCAAAGGGTGCAAGCATGGTGGCACGTGCACAACAGCACATGCATAATGGCACATACACAATGGTGCAGCTTTGCCTTTGCTTCACCTCCCTTTCCACCATCCTTCTCCATTCGATCTCCCGCATTCCTCACTCCTCACTCCCCGAACCATCCCCTTCCCATTCAGGCATTTCAGCAGTGGTGACGAAGCAGCTGATCCCCGTTTCTTTCCCCCTTCCCCAACCCTTCCCGCACCCCTCACCATTTTCAACAGGCATTTCAGCGGCAGTGGTGAAGCAGCTGAGGGAGGAAACCGGCGCCGGCATGATGGCATGCACGAAGGCTCTCTCTGATGCTAACGGGGACCTCGACTCAACCTTATCCCCCGCTCCCCGCGCCTCTACCCATTCCCGACAGGCATTTCAGCGGCGGTGGTGAAGCAGCTGAGGGAGGAGACGGGAGCCGGCATGATGGCGTGCAAGAAGTCCCTTTCCGACGCCAACGGGGACCTCGACACGGCCCGCGAGATCCTCCGCGGCCTCGCCACAAGGGGCTTGGGGCTTTCCGGTGCAGACAAGAAGGCCTCTCACAATCCCCCTCACGCTGCTTCTTTTCCCGCTCCCTCCTCTTAAACCCCGCCTCTTGTGCAGCAGCAGGTGGCATTTCAGCGGCAGTGGTGAAGCAACTGAGGGAGGAGACGGGAGCCGGCATGATGGCATGCAAGAAAGCCCTCACCGACGCCAACGGGGACCTCGACACCGCCCGCGAGATCCTCCGCAAGAAGGGGCTCGCTTCCGCCGACAAGAAGGCCTCCCGCGTCGCGTCCGAAGGGCTCGTCAGCAGCTACGTTCACTCGGACCGCATCGGCGTTCTCATTGAGGTGAACTGCGAGACGGATTTCGTCGCCCGAGGGAGTGCTTTCCAAGAGCTGGTTGAAGATTTGGGCATGCAGGTGGCGGCTTGTCCCCAGGTGGAGGTGGTATCTGTGGAGGATGTGCCTGCGGAGCAGGTGGCGAAGGAGAGGGAGGTGGAACTGGGGAAGGAGGATCTGGCGAGCAAGCCCGAGGCGGTTCGCGGGAAGATTGTGGACGGGCGGATGGCGAAGCGTCTGAATGAGCTGGCTCTGTTGGAGCAGCCGTATATCAAGAATGACAAGGTGATGGTGAAGGATGTGGTTAAGCAGGCCATTGCTTCTCTCGGGGAGAACATCCGCATCCGCCGCTTCGTGCGGTTTAACCTCGGGGAGGGGATCGAGAAAAAATCGGCTGATTTTGCAGCGGAGGTGGCTGCAGCCAGCCAGGTGCAGGCCCCTGCCGCGCCTGCTGCTCCTGCCCCTGCCGCTCCTGCCGCCGAAGCTGCGCCCGAGCCTGCCGCCGACAAGCCCAAGGTCGCCGTGTCTATGGCGGCAGTGAAGCAGCTTCGGGACGCCACCGGCGCCGGCATGATGGACTGTAAGAAAGCACTTGAATCCACCGATGGGGATGTTGATGCTGCCCGGGAGCTGCTCCGCAAGAAGGGTCTGGCCAGCGCAGACAAGAAGGCATCTCGCGTCGCCGCGGAGGGCATTGTCGGGAGCTACATTCACGACGGGCGCATCGGCGCTCTCATCGAGATCAACTGCGAGACGGACTTTGTCGCGCGGGGGGACAAGTTCCGGGAGCTGGTCGACGACCTAGCGATGCAGGTCGTGGCGTGCCCGGGCGTGCAGGTGGTGAGCGAGGAGGATGTGGATTCGGCCTGGCTCGCCAAGGAGCGGGAGATTGAGATGGGGAAGGAGGATCTGGCGAGCAAGCCTGAGGCGGTGCGCGGGAAGATTGTGGACGGGCGGCTGGCGAAGCGTGTCTCGGAGCTGGCTCTCCTGGAGCAGCCGTTTATCAAGAACGATAAGGTGACGGTGAAGGAGGTGGTGAAGGAGGTGGTGGCTGCGCTGGGGGAGAACATCCGCGTGAGACGGTTTGAGAGGTTTACGCTGGGAGAGGGGATTGAGAAGAAGGTGTCGGATTTTGCTGCTGAGGTGGCTGCTGCTGCGGGGCAAGCGTAAGCTGGTCTCTGCTGCTGGCGCCGCTCCTGCTCCTGCTCCTGCTGCTGCTGCTGCTGCTCCTGCTGCTGCTGATGCTGCTGCTGAAAAGTGTGTTGCTGGTCACTCTTGCTGCTGCTTCTGTGGGGTGGAGTGGCGGAACGGAGCTTGCTCAGACATACAAGTGCTGTGTCTCAGAAGTGCCATGTCCACTCCATCTCTCCATCCCTCCCATTATTGTTTATGCCCCTTGGTCCCTCTTTATGAGAATTCTCAAAAACACCCTGCAGCTGTCTCAGAAGTTCTATGTCCACTCCATCTCTCCATCCCTCCCATTATTGTTTATGCCCCTTGGTAACTCTTTCCGAACTACTGGTAGATGTCTTCCCAACATTTACGGTATCGTTACCTTGCAGTAGTCCTTCCCATCCTTCGTGTCCCTTGACTTGTGCTTTCATTAGGCATTTCAGACTCGTGCTCACATTCAAATGTTGTTAAGAGGGTGATGCTAGTACCTGTCGTACTGAGAAAAAGGAACAAGCATTTAGTACCAGTGGGCTGTAGCTGGGCTGAAGCAATGCCGCAGCATGGGCAATACCGTAATCTACCTAGCTTTACAACATGCGATTTTTGTATCACTGGGAGTAATTTGGCTGCATAACGGTACCAGCAGGAAAAACGGATTGATTTATTAGAGCGTATTCCTATCCTCGTATCAAGAAAACCTCATATCAACCTCCCACTGAAAATTTCCCTAAACCCAAAACCTCTCGCTACTTTTACCAGGCAAAAAGTACAATCTTGATATGAGGTTTTCTTGATACGAGGATAGGAATACGCTCTTATTATACTGGTATCGGAAAATGTCAGCAAGACATCCTTCATAAAAGAACCTAGTTTTGATCCGTCTTACCCCACATACGATAGGGGAATTCCCAAATGATGCACTGTATGCTCCAGACTTGCATTTGGTCTATGGATCGCAATTTCTCTGCATCGTGTCACAGTGGCTATATTACGCACACCAGGCGGGCACCAGTAGCTGAAACCCCTCCCAACACTCCTCCACACCCCACAACCCAGATTTGTTACCCAATCCTTCCTCCCACCCACATCCCTTCCATCCCATCCCTCATCCCTCATCCTCATGTGAAGTTCCTCCGCACACCTATGAGGATTTTGTGTAGAACAACGGACCAGGCATCGGGCACACCCGGCAGGCACCAGTGGCTGCAGTCGCGACCACCAGGGCTGGGCTAGGTTACCCCCACTCCCCCACTTCGATGGGAACACCTCATGTGAAATTCCTCCGCACGCCCATCAAGATGTTATACAGCACGTCAGACCAGGCATCAGGCACACCCGGCAGGCACCAGTGGCTGCAGTCGCAACCAACACCCCTACACTCTGCTACACACCCTGCTCATCCCCCTTCTCCATCATGTGAAGTTCCTTCTGACTCCCATCAGAATGTTATAGAGCACATCGGACCAAGCATCAGGCACACCCACAGACTCCAGTGGCTGCACTCCCTCCTTGCTCCACAACCCATCTCCCAACGCACGCGTCCCCGCACCCATAACCCACAGACCCCTCCTCCTCCTCCTCCTCCTCCTCCTCCTCCTCCTCACGTGAAGTTCCTTCTGACTCCCATCAGGATGTTATACAGCACGTCGGACCAAGCGTCCGGCACACCCGGCAGGCACCAGTGGCTGCAGTCCCTCCCATTCAGAAACAGGTGGGCGTCTGGCCGCATGGCGCTCATGTAGGTCACTTCCGCTACTTTCATGGTTGATCTTTTCATAACAGTGACCTGCAGTGGGATTGCAATGAGGCAGGGTGCAGGAAAAGAGAGGGAAGGAGCGGAGAGGAAGGAGCGGGGTGAGCCCCAGGTGGGCGTCTGGCCGCATGGCGCTCATGTAGGTCACTTCCGCTACTTTCATGGTTGATCTTTTCATAACAGTGACCTGCAGTGGGATTGCAATGAGGCAGGGTGCAGGAAAAGAGAGGGAAGGAGCGGAGAGGAAGGAGCGGGGTGAGCCCCAGGTGGGCGTCTGGCCGCATGGGGCTCATGTAGGTCACTTCTGCTACTTTCATGGTTGATCTTTTCATAACAGTGACCTGCAGTGGGATTGCAATGAGGCAGGGTGCAGGAAAAGAGAGGGAAGGAGCGGAGAGGAAGGAGCGGGGTGAGCCCCAGGTGGGCGTCTGGCCGCATGGCGCTCATGAAGGTGATCTCTGCCACTTTCATGGTTGACCGCTTCATCACTGTCACCTGATGGGTTATTGTCAACAGGGAGTAAGGCGAGGAAAAAGGTGAGGTGAGCCCCAGGTGGGCGTCTGGCCGCATGGCGCTCATGAAGGAAAAAGTGTCTGTTTCTAGTGATCTGATGTGTTTCTAGTGATCTGATGTGTTCCAGTAACCACAAGTGGTAACCACAAGTGGTAACCACGCACCTGTTTCTTCATGGCAGGCATGATGAAGCTCATCAGCGTGTTGTCCGCTTGCACGTTCGGTGGGAACGGCTGGGCGGCGTTGCAGTAGCCCTTCTCGTGAACGGGCGAGAAGGTGAAGAACACGGCTGCTCCCTTGTATGATGGTCTGGTAACCACGTACCTGGTAACCACGTACCTGGTAACCAGTGTGTTGGAACCACGCACCTGTTTCTTCATGGCAGGCATGATGAAGCTCATCAGCGTGTTTTCCGCTTGCACGTTCGGTGGGAACGGCTGGGCGGCGTTGCAGTAGCCCTTCTCGTGAACGGGGGAGAAGGTGAAGAACACGGCTGCTCCCTTGTAGTTCGCCTTGGCGAAATAGTCTCGCACGGTTACCAGCGCCTTGCTCATGACTGGGATTGGGTACCAGGGAGTGGTTTGGTCCTTGGGCTGTGGGAAGTAAAGGGAAGCAGGAGGTGGGGGAATGGGAGAAAATGTGAACAAAACAGTAGCTTATACTCTCGCACGGTTACCAGCGCCTTGCTCATGACTGGGGTTGGGTACCAGGGAGTGGTCTGGTCCTTGGGCTGTGGGGAAAGGAAAGGGAGGAGAGAGCGGGGAGAAGGGAGGAGGGAGGGGAGAGAGGGTGGAGAGAGAGAGGAGGGGGAGAGGGGGGATGAGAGAGCGAGGAGGGGTCAGTAGCCTTTGTCATGCACGGGGGAGAAGGTGAAGAACACTGCTGCTCCCTTGTAGGATGACCTGGCGAAATAGTGTGTAACGGAGCGCATGGCTCACGACTGGGATGGGGTACCGGGGAAGAACCAGTGTGAGTGTAAGGAAGGAAAGCGGGGTTCTGCAGTGTGAAATTACCATCACAGCAGCACAGGGACTCACCGTATGTTTCTTGAGAATTCTCAAAAAACGTAGGAGGGAAAGCGGGGTTCTGCGGTGTGAAATTACCATCACAGCAGCACAGGGACTCACCGGGTGGAAGAACCGGTGGCCTGCGTTGAACACAATGCCGTCTGTGTATGGCAAGAGAATGGCGAGCTTTAATGTCGTGATGCCATAAGCCATAACACTGTAAGGCACCAGGTCCACCAACACAGACACTCGCTCCCTTCCTCACTCGCTCCCTTCCTCACTCACTCACTTCCTCACTCACTCACTCACGCACTCACGCACTCACCGGATGGAAGAACCAGTGGCCCGCGTTGAACACGATGGCGTCTGTGTAAGGGAGGAGCGTGGCCCACTTGGGGTTCATTGTGTAGACCGCTGTCTTGTGGTTGGTGGTCTGCGGGATGGGGATGGAGGAAGGATGGGGGAATGGAACACAGTTATCGAGGGGGATGGAGGAAGGATGGGGGAATGGAACACAGTTATCGAGGGGGATGGAGGAAGGATGGGGGAATGGAACACAGTTATCGAGGGGGATGGAGGAAGGATGGGGGAATGGAACACAGTTATCGAGGGGGATGGAGGAAGGATGGGGGAATGGAACACAGTTATCGAGGGGAAGGGGCAGCAGCGTGGCCCACTTGGGGTTCATTGTGTAGACCGCTGTCTTGTGGTTGGTGGTCTGTGGGGAAGAGGGAATGAGGGCAGAGTGGGAAGACGGAGGATGGGGAAATGAGCAGCTACACACGGGAGGTGGGAGGATCAGCGTGGACCACTTGGGGTTCATGGTGTGAACCGGTGTCTTGTGATTGGTGGTCTGTGGGGGAAAGGGGAATGGAGGAAGGGGGTTGGGAAAGATTGGGGTGAGAGTAACACACAGCATGGTGAGACCCACTTGGGGTTCATGGTGTAGACGGCTGTCTTGTGGTTGGCGGTCTGTGGGGGATGGGGAGGGGAAGGATGGGAAAAGGGAGGAGCGTGGCCCACTTGGGGTCCAATTTTTAGTCCACGCAAAAATCGACACAGCATGGTGGGACCCACTTGGGGTTCATCGTGTGAACCGCTGTCTTGTGGTTGGCGGTCTGTTGGGATAGGGACGGGAGCATGAGGGATGGAGAGGATGGGCGATGAAAACTAGGGCGTGTGACCCTCTAGGGCGTGTGGTTGGTGTAAGGGAGGAGTGTGACCCACTTGGGGTTCATTGTGTGAACCGCTGTCTTGTGGTTGGCAGTCTGTTGGGATAGGGACGGGAGCATGAGGGATGGAGAGGATGGGCGATGAAAACTAGGGCGTGTGACCATCTAGGGCGTGTGGTTGGTGTAAGGGAGGAGTGTGGCCCACTTGGGGTTCATCGTGTAGACCGCTGTCTTGTGATTGGTGGTCTGTGGGGGAAAGGGGAATGGAGGAAGGGGGTTTGGAAAGATTGGGGTGAGAGTAACACACAGCATGGTGGGACCCACTTGGGGTTCATCGTGTAGACGGCTGTCTTGTGGTTGGCGGTCTGTTGGAAAGAGAATGGCGGGTGGAGGATGGGAAAGGACGGAAAGAATGAGGGAGGATTAGGGAGGACAAACACTGCTGCTCCTTCCCTGGGAAAGGACGGAAAGCTCTTGGAGCCGCTGCTGACGGTGACGGTGGCGGTGGTGAGGTTGTAATTCGGCTCAAGAGGTAAGGTACATGCACGATCACATCTTGTACACACACATGAACTACACTCACATACGGCAGGTTCTGAACGAGGTAACCGCTGCTGACTGTTTGGGTACTAAGGTTGAAACTCGGTATGGAACGTGATGTACAGTATCACTGTGTATGCAATTAAAGCATCTTTGTTGAACTCACATATCGTGGGCTCTGAGCGAGGTAACCGCTGTTGATGGTGAGAGTGGTGAGGTTGTAATTCGGTACAAACCATGTGGGTTATGCACTTTAATGGGTCACATTCGGTACACTCACACATGTATTACACTCACATATCGTGGGCTCTGAACCAGGTAGCCGCTGTTGATGGTGAAGAGTGGTGAGGTTGTATGATGTACTGTACACTATCTATTCAACAAAAGCACCCTCGGTAAACTCACATATCGTGGGCTTTGAACCAGGTAACCGCTGTTGATGGTGAGAGTGGTGAGGTTGTAATTCGGGACAAAGTAGGACCCGAGTCTCCGATTGCCGAACTTGACCTTCTTGAACTGGTGTTGGGGGGGGGGGGGGGGGGGGGGGAGGGATGCGTATGTGCGTGTGGGAGAGAGGGAGAGAGGAGGGTAGGAAAGGGGGAAGTAAGGGAAGGGAATGCAAAGGGAGTGGTGAGATTGTAGTTCGGGACGAAGTGTGACCCTCGCCGCCGATTGCCCACTTTGACCTTTTTGAACTGGTGTGTGAAGGGGGGAGCAGGGGAGGGGGTGTGGGGAGGATGCATAAGGGTGCGGGGGAGGGGGAAAGAGAGAAGATGCGTGGGTGTGCAAGGGAGAGAGGGGTGGAAGGGAGTGGTGCGGCTGTAATTCGGCTTGAAGTACAACCCTAGCCGCCGATTGCCCACTTTGACCTTCTTGAACTGATGGGGATGGGGGTTGGCGGGTGGGGAAGAGGGTGATGAAGCTCCTCCGCCTTCTTCAAAATTGGTGGGGAAGAGGGAGATAAGAGGGAGATAAAGCACACACAGAGTAGTGGTGATTTTGTCATTTGGCACAGAGTATGATCCGAGCCTCCTATTGCCCACTTTGGCCCTCTTGAACTGGTGTGGGGGGAAGGGAAGGAAAGGAATGGGGGGAAGGACAAGGGAAGGGAATGGAGGAAGGAATGGGAAGGGAGTAGTGAGGTCGTATTTTGGCGAATAGTCTCCGATTGCCCACCTTGACCTTCTTGAACTGGTGGGGAGAGGGGCGAGGGGAGGACAAGGGAAGGGAAGGGGAAGAGGAGTGGAAGGGAGTAGTGAGGTCTTATTTTGGCGAATAGCACGACCCCGGTCTCCGATTGCCCACCTTAACCTTCTTGAACTGGTGTGATGGAGGAGGAGGGAAGGGGGTTGTGGTGAGGATGCGCATGGGTGTGAGGGAGAGAGGAAGAGAGGAGTGGAAAGGAGTGGTGAGGTTGGAATTCGGCACATGATACGACCCGAGTCTCCGCTTGCCAACCCGAGACTTCTTATAGTTTTGTTGCTAAACCCTGTATAGAAATAAAACTTATGGTTGCTTACCACTACCCGTGTTGTTGCTTGCAGGAGGCACACGATGCCCTCGTACAAGTTGTGTTTAGTGAGTCGCAAAGATATCCCCTTTATAGTGCACAACATAAGACTTGTAGTTGCAACTCACCACTACCCGTGTTGTAGCCTGCAGGAGGCACACGATACCCTCGTACATGTTGTCGTTTAACGAGTCTCCCACAAACGCCATCACAGTGTTTCGCATCTTCTTCAGAAATCGCTTGCCATTGAACCTGGGGTGTAGGGACGGCGGGACGAGGAGGCAGGCGTGCGGTTGCGAATATATCGATTATGTGACTGTAAGTGTATCATTACACTGATCCCACTCAAAGCTTATTCTCGCACAAATCTTACGGAGCAGTGGAGCAACAGCCACTCGTTACTAATTGTCATCCCAAAAATCCTTCTTCCCCCCAATACACACCACCACGAACCCCCATTCCTCCCCCTCGTCAAATCCCTCGAATCACGCACTTCCACGTGTAGTAGTTGCAGGGCGGCGCGGGCACCCAGACGTAGTTGGACGGGTGTTGCTTTCCGGGAGGCACGTTGGCGCAGCTGAAGTGCTTCGAGCAGTTTAGGGGGTACGGCACCTTGTACCCGGGTATCTTGGAAATGTGCACCCAGCTGCGCAAAGGGGAGGTTGAGTGGGGGGGGAAGGGGGAGGGGGAGGGGGAGGGGGAGGGGGAGGGGGAGGGGGAGGGGGAGGGGGAGGGGGAGGGGGAAGGGGAAGGAGAGGGGGAAGGGGGGAAGGGGACGAATTATGAGACCACAAAAATAGCAGCTGAATTACTTCGAGCAGTTTAGGCCAGACGTAGTTGGACGGGTGCTGCTTCCCGGGAGGAGGGGAGAGGGGGAGGGGAGGGGAAGGATCGGGGGAGGGATGTTCAGGCGGCGCGGGCAGCCAGACGTAGTTGGACGGGTGCTGCTTCCCGGGAGGCACGTTGGCGCAGCTGAAATGCTTCGAGCAGTTTAGGGGATACGGCACCTTGTATCCAGGTATCTTGGAAATGTGCACCCAGCTGTGCAGGGTGGTTTGGGAGGCGGGAGCCAAAGGGGAAGGAAGGGGGAAAGGGGAAAAGGGGGAGCGGGAGGGGGAGGGGAAAGATATTTCAAACGTCACAGAATCCGCAGCTGAATTGCCGCGAGCAGTTTAGGGGGTACGGCACCTTGTACCCGGGTATCTTAGAAATGTGGACCCATCTGCGCAGGGTGTTTTGGGATGCGGAAGCCAAAAGGGAAGGAAGAGGGAAGGGAGAAGGAGGGGGAGGGGGATCGGGAGGGAGAGGGATTGGGGGAGGGGAGGGGAGGAGAGGGAGAGGGGAGAGATGGGGGGAGGGATGTTTATGTTGTTCAGAAGAGAGGGGGATGAATCTGGGAGTAGGATTGGTGACGTTGGGGGAAAAGGGAAGGGAGAGATTGGTGATTCGAATAGGCAGTGTGAGGAGTGGCGGGAAAGGGAGAGAGTAAGGAGGGGTAGGGGGGGATGAGGAGACAGGAAGTGCACTACAGAGGTACATTGGTTAGAAAAGAGTAGGGAAACTGGTAGGAAACTGGTATTTATGAAATTTCGCTGACTACAATGGCGAGGAAGAGGTGCGGGGAGAAGGTGTAGGGGGGGGTATGGGGAGAGGGAGTGCGGGGAGCTATGGGGAGAGTAATTAGAAGGAAGCTGAGAGAGTTGAGTAATATTAATAAGGAAGATGAGGGACAGGGGTCAAAGCACAAAAGAAGGAAGAATGAATCAAGTGCCAAGTAGTAATTGGCGGAATCTAAAGCAAATTATTTGTGGCGAGAAATTGGCGATTCGGCCAGAACACCGGTAACCCTCGCTTACCTGCCCTTGCGATAATCGCAGCCTGCCGCTTTCGATGCTTTATTCTTCGCCTGCAGCCGTCGCGAATGCGCGCTACTTTCGCCAGTCAGCAGATACGCGAGCGTAGATTCCGGCGAAAACGTCGCAACAGGCGACGACGACGACGACAAGTCTGAGAGGGAATCGACGTGCGACCAAATCTGACCGTGCGACTCTGCCGCTGCTCCCGCTGCGACGCCGTCGCACAGCATCGACGCGGTTATAAGCATGGCAAGGGTAATTTGAGCTAGCGCAACTAGAACTGAACCCAGATTATGCCGTCGCAAGGGATGCGCGCCCAAGCACCGGTCATCGTGGCGAAGATTGCGGAGGATGCCGGGATGTCGTTTTGTCTGTCGAATTTGAAACGATCTTACGGATGCCGAATCATTCATTTCCGCGACGAACAGCTGCGATAGTCGTTGAACCATCTTGCGAAGGCGAAATTCCAATTGTTTCGCTACAAACGAAATGATACGCAGCCTTGAAACGCGTGTCGACAAGGGGTTTAAACGAAGTGATTCGACAGCATGTCTACTTGCTAATTACTCCTATCACGGCAGATGGGGAAGTGGCGGGGAAGACGGGGTAGACGCGCAAACAGCAAACCGGCGCCGCCGGCGGCATATCGAACCTTTGAAAGCACTACACAACGAGTAGAAATCCCACTTTCGTACGAAGTTTGATGGGCAACACCGGAATTTACGGGGGATGCGATTGGCTCAAACAAGGGCAGGAATTTGCAACGTGCCCCGCCTGACAACTCTACGCTGTTTCAGGAGGAGAGATTCATGACGAACTGGTGCTAACCGTTTCCGAAACCAAAGGTGAAAAGGAATGCTAGAGAATCGCCGCGCGCACCTTGTAGAACCAGCACTGGCTGTTTGGGATTTACAAGCTGGGTAAGGTTTCTAAGAAGCTATTAGTACAAAGTCCAGGAGTAATAGAGCGCTATAAGAGCTGGGACGGCAAGCCAGAACGAGCGCGAAAGTTGAGGCGAAAACGCTGATAGTTGCGACGACGCACGTGACCCCGATCACCGTCGGTTAGGGTCGCAGGTGGTTGGGATTGCCTAGAAGGGGGAACAGCGGAAATGGTAATGGGAAGAGAGTCAGTCAAGCCAGACCATGCACTGGGAGTGGTGGAGCTAGACCGAGCCGTGGAAGAAGGCAGAGAAGCGGGATGGGTACGAAATTGGGTGGTGGTGCTGTCCTGTGCTTCACAATCACAAGCTTTGCTCCGGACGTCTGCTTCTCAGATGACTGCGGAAGTGGTGAGGAGTAGGTGTGTGAGACGGGTGAGTGAGAGGAAAAGCGGCTGTTGGGTGAAACGTGTTGGTGCGAAAAACGCGAGGGAAATGGCGAAAATTGTTCTCTCGCGTCGCGGATTCCCCAGTCGCTTGAAGCGGTGGACGTCCGCGCGGTGCGGAATGTCCAGCCAGCAGGTTGCGCTGCTGCAGCCTGCAGGGTGGTGTTCGGCAGACGGGTGGGTTCTTGCAATCGGAAATTCTTCGTTATTAGGTATCTCAGTTGTGTACAGAGAAGGAAAAACACTTCGAATCACGTGTTACTCTACGTAGTTGTGAAATATTATGTTTGCGGCTATCAACCAAAACGCACCTCCAACTCCACCAATGGCTGCACAGCGGAGATTCCTCCAAGCCAACTGGCTTGTTCAGTACACCCCTCCAAAGGTTTCGGGCTTCCCACCACTTTGGTTGGGCAGATCCAACTTGCCCAGCAACCACGCTGGTGAAATTTGGCTGTGCTGGTGCCATGCTGGACGAAAAGGGCGCATTGGCAGGGCAATGTCTCGCCAGCTCCCCGCCAACAGCGCCGCTGCCACGTGTACTAGCGGCTCGTTTTGGGCGAGGGGGCACGTCATCGTCAGCACGAAAAAAAGATCTTCCCGGGTTTGCCCGAAACAATGGGCCCAGCTCAGATTCCGTGATGACCATTCGCATGACAGTGCCATGTGAAGGAAATGTTAGTTCAGGCATCTTGGTCATCCATAAAGAGTTTCACGAACATCATTTTACCAACTTCTGCTTCTGTACGTGAAGCTAACTTTGCTATACTTTGAGCCAGCTTCCACCCTCATCCCAGGTAAAGCTAGTTTCTAGAACCATTAAGTGCTCGTCTTCTCTCGCCGTTTACTCTCAGGCATAGAGAATCTCATCTGATCGTTCTCTCTTCCATTCTTTGTCGTCCTCTCTGCCAGATCTTTAAAAATTTTCTCCGTCAGCTAGCCATGGGTAAGCACAGATTTAATTTCGCTCTACATAGTTGTGCTGCATTGACAATATGAAGCTAATAATCGTTTTAATTTCTTGTGTACACTGATTCGTCTCCCACTTCCCGCGATTCAGCCCCCGTCAAGATCGGCATTAACGGTGCGTTGATGATTCATGTAGCTCCTGTTTTATGTTTTGCAAATCAGCAATCTTGGATCTCATGATCTCGTTACGTGTAATATTGTTGTTTCAGGATTCGGCCGCATTGGCCGTCTCGTCGCCAGGGCTATCCTCAAGCGCGATGATGTGGAGCTGGTTGCTATCAACGACCCCTTCATTGACACCACCGTACGTCTGGGAAACTCAGCATTTTACACCCCTATGTGCTCAGCCGGATAGTTTTAAAAGATCACTCTCTGACACTCTCGAGGGGATGTTTCTAATTTTCAATGTTTTCTTGCAGTACATGGTGTACATGTTCAAGTACGATACCGTCCACGGCCAATGGAAGGGTGATGTCTCCGTGAAGGACGAGTCCACCCTGATCTTCGGCGGCAAGGAGGTCAAGGTCTTCGCCAAGAGGGACCCTGCTGAGATTGCCTGGGGCTCGGCTGGTGCCGACTACGTTGTGGAGTCCACCGGTGTCTTCACCACCAAGGACAAGGCTGCCGCTCACATCACCGGTGGCGCCAAGCGCGTCGTCATCTCCGCTCCCAGCGCTGACGCTCCGTACGTTCAGCTCCAGCGAACACTGTGTCTTAGTCCAGCTCTTCATCTGTCTAGAGCCGTTCGTTGAAATCCCGATCTTGCGTTCTTACGTGCAGGATGTATGTCATGGGTGTGAACCACACCGAGTACACCGCCGACCAGAACATCATCTCCAACGCCTCCTGCACCACCAACTGCCTTGCACCTGTTGCCAAGGTCATCAACGACAAGTTCGGCATCGTCGAGGGTCTCATGACCACCGTCCACGCCGTGACTGCCACGCAGAAGACCGTCGACGGTCCCTCCAACAAGGACTGGCGCGGTGGCCGTGGTGCTGGCTTCAACATCATTCCCAGCGGCACTGGTGCTGCCAAGGTACGCCTGTGGCCACCCCTTGTACGGGTATGGAGATGTTCGCGTGTCCCAAACATGTAACCTGACCCTTCAATGTGTCCTGACCCTTTCTCCAGGCCGTCGGCAAGGTCCTCCCCGCTCTCAACGGCAAGCTCACTGGCATGGCCTTCCGCGTCCCAACTGCCGACGTGTCCGTGGTCGACCTCACCGTGCGGATTGAGAAGGGTGCCACCTATGACGAGATCAAGGCTGCCCTCAAGTAAGCCGACTCACAATCTACCCTGAACGAATAAATATTTGAACATGTTCGGGAACTAAGACCTTGTATTCCGTCTTCTCAGGGCCGAGTCTGAGGGTGCTCTGAAGGGCATCCTCGGCTATGTGGATGAGGATCTGGTGTCCGCCGACTTCATCGGTGATGACAGGTAAGATCCGCATTACAATAGAGAACTTTGTTTTTCTAGGCGGTTTCTGTTGCAGCCAGTCATAATGGTGTACTCTTGTTATCAGGTCGAGCATCTTCGATGCCAAGGCCGGTATCGCTCTGAACAACAATTTCGTGAAGCTGGTGTCGTGGTACGACAACGAGTGGGGATACAGGTACGTGCTGCCGCAATCAGAGTTCACTAAATTAGTTTTTGTTAGATCAGACACCTAACATGGTCTGTTTCGTCGTCTTGTTATCTTGCAGCAACCGCGTTGTGGACCTCATCGTCTCCACCTCCAAGGTTGTCTAAACGAAGCGCGTGCTGTGCTTCTAATAGATAAAGCGTTTGTTAGGTTAATACGTTTGCCATGGAATGTCGCCACTCTTAGTGAAATTTTTTTGGCATGCAAATATGGTCATCACGTTCTTTTGAGCAAAGCCGCACTCCTGCGTTCTTCCTTCAGGTCACCGGATCCACCAAGGTAAAAGCTGACACAGACAGCGAGCGCAACGTGAGGATGAAGATGACAACTGAAGCCTGACGTCAACTCATGGTACTGTACAGTGTCGCCACCACCTGAGTAGTTTTCTCCACAGACGTGAACTAAAATGAGATGGAGAACCGTCTTGTTCAATGCCCTGCCTAACCAATTCATAAATTACGGACATTCTGCAAAGCGACACGCTTATGGGGTGTGACTGTGACGCGTGACACAGGTTTTACGTCAACCTCAACTTCAGCAGACCTTCAGCTGATTCCTGACCCGAACAGCTGTGCCAAGAACCATACTACACTTGTATTCATTATGACCAGATCCTAGCCCAACAGGATCTGAAAGCACGGTTACAGCTACTTATGCTGTCCACGCGTATAAGATGGACACATGGCAGTATTTACTTCCACTCCAGCTACTAAGGCACAACAAGATTCATCATTCCACAGCAACTCGACCAATGAAATTGTTCAGCAGGCTGCCAAACACCAGCACATTTTCACCATCAACTTCGCGGGCACTTGTAAACCCCCCCACATGCTTTGCTGTCGGGTCATTAAGAAATTTCACAACCTGCCCGTCTTCATTCACCGCCAGCACAGCGCCAGCATGGCGCATCATGGGGGCAAGGAAAGGGAGCTAGAGGTACTTGAGAGGCAACAGGCCAATCAGGGCCTTCAGGAGAGGGAACGGATGGATCAGGTCCGTGACAGGTTGCCGAGGCTGTGGGGTGGGGCGGGTTGGAGAGGAACGGGGAGGAAGGGGAGGGGTTGGGTCCAGAAAGAGATTGGGAGTGATGGAATGGAGAGTAGGCGAATGGAAACGGAAGGAGGGGTGAAGAACAGATGAGAAAAGCAGGGAGTCACTAGCAACAGGTGCAACAGAGAGGGCAGTTGTGAGATACTTGAGAGGCAAAAGGCCAACGAGGCCGTGAGATAGAGAAAGGCACTTTTGATTGCACATGGATCAGCGTTTCAGTGAGGCACTAGTTCCCTTGTTAGATCAGACGCCTAACATGGCCTGTTTCCTTGTTCGTTATCTTGCAGCAACCGCGTCGTGGACCTCATCGTCTCCACCTAAACGAAGCGCGTGCTGTGCTTCTGATAGATTAAGCGTCTGTTAGGTTAATACGTTTGCCATGGAATGTTGCCATTCTTAGTGAAATTTCTTTGGCATGCAAATATGGTCACCGCGTTGTTTTGAGCAACGCCGCACTCCTGCGTTCTGCCTTCAGGTCACCGGATCCACCGAGGTAAAGGCTGACACAGACAGCGAGCGCAACGTGAGGATGAAGATGAGAAATGATGCCTGACGTCAACTCATGGTACTGAACAATGTCGTTACCACCTGAGTACTTATCGCCACAGACTTGTTCAACCAAGATGAGATGAAGATCTGTCTTGTTCAATGCTCTGCCTAACCAATGCATAAATTACGGTACCTTCTGGGAGTTCCAGGGTGCAAAGCGGCGCGTTTATGGGGTGTGAGTATGTCACGTGACACAGGTTTTATGCTAACCTCAACTTCAGCAGACCTTCAGCTGATTCCTGACCCAAACAGCTGTGCCAAGAACCGTACTACACTTGTATTCATTATGACCAGATCCTAGCCCAACAGGATCTGAGAGCACAGTTACAGGTATGCTGTCCACGCGTATAAGATGGGCACATGGCAGTATTTACTTCATCATTCCACAGCGACTCGACCAATGAAATTGTTCAGCAGGCTGCCAAACACCAGCTCCTTTCCACAATCAACCTCGTGGGCACTTGTAAACCCCCCCACATGCTTTGCTGTGGGGTCATTAAGAAATTTCACAACCTGCCCGTCTTCATTCACCGCCAGCACAGCGCCAGCATGGCGCATCATGGGAGAGAGGAAGGGCGGCTGGAGGTACTTGAGAGGCAACAGACCAATGAGAGCCTTCAGGAGAGGGAACGGGTGGATCAGGTCCGTGACAGGTTGCCGAGGCTATGTGGTGGGGTGTGAGGGAGGGAGAGGGGGGGATAGGAACGGGGAGGAGGAAGGGGAGGGGGGTTTTACCAGATTGTGGGGGATGGAAGGAAGAGTGAGAGCAAACAGAAACGGAAGGAGAAGTGAAGAACAGGCGAGAAAAGCGGGGAGTCACTAGCAACAGGCGCAACAGAGAGGGCAGTTGTGAGGTACTTGAGAGGCAAAAGGCCAATGAGGCCGTGAGATAGAGAAAGGCACTTTTGATTGCACATGGATCAGCGATTCGGCGAGGCTAAAAAGTATTGCTGGTTGTTTAAATCAGTATGTGTGAGGATCAAAGCGCTTATTGAACAAAACTTACAATCACAAGGCACACCCAGAAAAGACCTTTCCCATTGCTGTTGACATTGTCCGGCGACCCGGGCAGGTTGTCTAGGAATATTTCTGACGTGCCCGCTTTCGGTCCTTTGAGCCAATAGCGGGTCAGGCGATACCTGCAGAAGGGGAGCCGGCACACAAAAATGGTCCAATGAATTGCCAGTTCAAGTAAACCCCACTGGAGGGAAATATAAGGGGAAATTGCCCATTCCAGAGGGAAATTTGAAATTTAATAATATATAGAAAATTGGCCAATTCCTTTTTTAAAAAAGCTAACCCAAACGGTACTTGAAAACGATTTTTCTATATAATTTCCTTGGCTTACCTGCTAGTTTCAGCCACCACAACGAAGTCCTCATGTTGCGACAGCGCCACCCCATTCGCAAAATACAGCCCATCAAGAAGCGTCTCAGCCTCCAGAGGCCCCGCTTCGCTGGCAGTCCCTGCTGACGTGGCATCCTCATCCTCTCCATGACGTGGTTCTTCTGCCAGCTCTGCTTTCTGCTCGTCTGGGTTGATCCTCAGCAGGCGGCCGTGGGGCCTCTGTTCCAGAATGTCGAGGAAGAAATGTGAGACGGGAAAGTGCGAGGAAGCATCTGAGAAGTAGATGGTTCCGTCGCTCGCCACGTCAGCGTTGTCGGTTATTCTGACGGGAGGTCAGCAAACAGGGTGAGGGCAGGTATTAAAAGGTCAGATACTTGAAGGGGTAGGAGGGGGGAGATACACAAGAAGTAGGATTAGGACAGAATGATAAGCTAGACGGGGACAGCCATGGGCACGAGAAAGGAACAGACTGGACAACCAGTGCTGGAAAGGACCCTTGAAGAAAGGTAAGGCAGGAAAATGGAGCGGTGGAATGAGCGTGCAGATGAAGGGAAAGTCCAACCTGAATGGAATTCCATTGGAGGAATTGGAGATTAAACGGACGGAACGAGTCGCCACATCCACTAGGAGGAGACCCTGGGAAGAATAATGACAACAGCGAAAGAGTGCTCTAAATTTCTCAGAAAGAATTCCCACGTCCACTACGGGGAGACCTGGGAAGCATAATGACAAGAGAGAATATTTATGGATTCTTACACACGTACTCTTCACGTCCAGGAGGAGGAGACTCCGGGGCCTCAGAAAGGGAGAGACGACAGCGAGGAGAAAAACACTTTCGCCAGCTGCTAATCCCTCTGCCTCTAGTGCAAAAAGCACTTTGTGAGAACCTTCCGTTCGCCGAATTTTGCCACCTTGAGGGAACCATTGAGTCTCCTTGCGCGCTATAGTTCATTCCCGTTTACTCTTTTGCAATTTACCTGGTGCTTTTTTGGTCAGGGGAATGGCCTCGTTCCTCATGGGTCATAATCCGTCTAAATTAAACCTTGGTGTTATGAACATCTATTGGCTTCTCACTTCTAATCATACCTTCACCGCCTCGCAAACCACCAGTTCCCGCTCATCGTTCCGCCACGCAAGGCCCAACGGATGCCCGCCTACGTGCACCCAATCGCGAGGCTCCACGTCGCCTTTCTTCAGAATCTTAATCCATCCACTCGCGTCGCTCGAGTATAAGTTTCCTTCCGCGTCAGGAAGAACGTCCTCCGGACCGCGAACCTTTCCCAGAGCGAGTTTCTTGACGGCAAGCAGCCGGTCGTTAGCGGCAAAGGGTCCGACAGGAGCGGGAGGCGGAGGAGGGTGGAAGGGAAGCGGACGGAAATCGCTGGAGTTTAAGTGCGACTGCAAGCGGACAAAAACGGCTACTAGGACGGCAGCCAGTGTTCCAAGAAACGGGATGACAGTCATGGTGCACGCTCGCGCGTAAGCAACGTGCAAAACTTCTAAATTGCTGATAATTCCCTATAGCTGCTTATGAGAAACCAGCAACTAAAATGTGCTGCTAACCGGATCACTGATCTAATCCTGACATTTCTTGTGGAGAAATGGCGGACTCAGAATCTGATTTTGTGCGGTTGAGTGTTTTTCAAAGCCTAGGGGCGCGGTAAATTATGCTTGACCCTACTGAGCGGTGTGCGACGTCGGACTGTAGATGTGCACGCTTTTTTTTTTTGGCGATGAGGGGGAACCTTTATACGGCAAATGTATAAAGAAACCTTTATACGGCAAATGCTGAATGTGGAAGTAAGCAAATGTAATACGGCATTTCAGGTCTGAAAGAAACATAATTTGTACTATATGGCTCTTGCTCATGAATCTTTTTATGAACGATACAGGCAAACCCAAGGAAGAGCTTCTGAGGGATTGATATACCGTAGGACTCGCAACTACGTTGCAAGTGCATCGGTATACATTGGAAATGAGAAGTGGTTGTCACCCCGCATAAGGCAGTGTTATGCATTTTGGTGTAACACGAAGGCAGATGAGACCAACTCTCATCACTGCAAAAGCTGCTTATGAGGTGATCTCCACATCTCCTTGTAAATACTAGCCACCTTGTCAGAGCCCGGAGCCCATAAGCTGAAGGCAGGGCTGCAAATGCAACTGTTGACCCCCTTGCATGACTCATGACTCGGCAGGAGGTGGCAGTGGCTCTGTACACAAGGCAACAGGTCAAGAGGCATCGCATGTTCACAGAACAAATATGCACACACGTCCACGCACAATGCAAACACACTTTCACGCACACCAAGACACACTCCTTACCCAAGGTAGATACACTACATAACATACAAACGTACCGTTTTCAGCCATAGCTGGTACTTGCACCAACTGCAAAGGCTGTCACCTAAGTTAACACACCTGCTTGTATTTTCCTGTATAGGTTGAGCACTGGATAGATGTTCTCGAACGCCTGGTATATCTCATCTCGCACCTGCAGCACAAACGTGACACAGAAAATGAAGTACAAAGAAAATTTTGTGAAAAGAGAGAGGAAGGTAAATAACCTGCAGTAGGACACACCCAGGAGACCTAGGCACACACGGTCCACTATAACACACCTTGGCACCAGTAAGAACGATCTTCCCTGACACGAAAATGAGGAGCACGATCTTGGGCTGCTTCATGCGGTATATCAAGCCAGGGAAAAGCTCTGGCTCGTACTGCAGCATGGTTGAAAAGAGGGGGGGAACCATGAGGAAGAATACACCCATTAAGATGAAACATACAAGTGCATATAATGATTGAACGCAATAATACACTTATGAGGCGAAGAAAATAAACTATAAAAGGTGCACAACAAAACAAAGGCTGAGTTTGTCATTGAAAAGACTTACGCTGCAAAACTGTTGATGTGCAATCTGAAGTCCTTCTAATCGAATGGGAAAGCGTACGTCGCAAGAACCAACAATATTTTGAATCTTGAAATCCTGCAAGCCGTGAGGATCAGATATCAGGCACCGTCTAGAAGCTCTCCGCAACAGCGGGGGTCCAATAATAAAAATGGATGACGGTACCAAGACGAGACACGACATACCTTAAACTTTACTTGGTCGTTTCCAAGCTTTTGAATAATACGAGCATACTGCCGTGAAAGAAAAACCAGGGAGAAACACGGACGATCAAAAATAGCCCTGTACGCCTCACAAATAACATTCCAACCAAACGGAAACGGTGGCGGAGAATCGAAAGGGGAAACAGCGGAAACTGAGGAAGGAACAACAATGAAATGAGGCCAAAGCTACAAGTGCAAGTTACCTTGCGAGCAGCTAGCCGCGATTGCTCTTCACTCTTCGCGCCTGTGCACACCTGATGCATCCGGGAAGCGAAGAGTTGATGCAACCTCAGGGTTAGAAAGCAAAGACACCACGCACAGAAGTGGTAATTCGAGACAATACCGAATTCACCACACAAGCAGGATCCTTACCATTTTCCCAGAGGCGAACACTAGAGCCGTGGTCTTGGGCTCGCGTATCCGAATGATGACAGCTGCGAAACGCTGTAAACAAGGAGAGGAAAACCAAATACCAGAAACATAAACTTGAGCTTTCTTCAAGGCTTCAACGCCAACACTCAGCCGTTGCGACTCGCCAATCGGTGTAGCAAAGACCACAGTCTGATACACAAGCTCTTCCAGAAACTCAACAGTGACCATCCCTACAATAGAGGCGGAAGCTGATAACCAAACCCCCCGCAGTTAAGGCTTGTCCTACGTACCTAGTTACGTCACCGTGCGCCATGTCATACCTTAGGGTTGTACTCAGCGTTTCGAGCTCGGAGTGCAATCTCTTTCAAATCCAACCGACAGTCCATGTTGACTGTAGAGACTATGTTTCTGCAAGGGCGAAAGAGGGAGAGAGAACCCACTCGCCGATGAGTACGTCGAATTCAAACCCATTTCCTTCACAGCATATACCAAGCTTCACGCGACCTTCTAGCAAAGTAAGACCGAGATTTACGGCGGGAAAGACACATACTGTAGTACAGGCACGATTCCCGAGGGGTGCTTGACTAGATCGACTGGTTGGCTCCCCTCGTCAAGCACCATGGCTGTTTGGCTCGGCAGTGCTGGCGAGGGTTCCGCCATGGCGATAGTGCCACTAAAACAGAGCCAAGCAATTTCACTTTTATAAAGCACGGGAAACTTTTGACTGCTTTAAAGATTGACCCAGTCGTCCTCGACGTTAGGATAAGCTGTGCACGCTATGCCGAGTTCTGCTTGAGAAGAGCACAGAGCCTAACTCTCAAAGGCTTTGAAAGAGAAACTAAGAAAATCAGGCCCACCAGCGATATATGAAGGGTTCTGATGGCCCAGGCTCGAACTGCACTTCCGAGCCAAGATTGAGGCGGTTGCTTGTGCCGGGCTTGATCTGCCTGATTGGTTTGGGAGGACATTCATCTGGCCGCTCTTGCTGCCTACGGGGGTGGTTCGGTAGAAAGTCGAGCCTATCTTAGTTCGGACGATGTGATGTGATGTTGCTTGATGCCTTATGCGTGTACAGTGCACCAGACCGCAAAATCTAGGGGATGCTGTGTTGTCGAACGTGGTTGGTGGGGAAAACGCCCATGTGATGTGAAGAACAAAATTTCAAGAAGTCAAAATCGCACGTACCCGTTATGACATGATCAGAACAATAGCGACGGCATGTGCACTACAAGCTGTTAAATGGAAAAATAACTAGCCTCCAGCATCTGTAAGATTTGCTGCGTGAATTGCTCGTATATGAAGAGTGCTAGTTTTCAAATGTACCCTGCGTCAATGCTATTTATCAAGCTTTCAGCCACCCTTGTTCTTCATTGTGCAAGATGATCATGTCACCGCCACCACAACCACAAGGCAGCGAGCCATTTATTTTGAATGAAATCATCAACAACACGGGACAGCATATCACAATAAGTTGTTATGGCATACGCAACTAAGAAACAGCTTTTGAGTATAAACTACAATAATCGTCAAATATATCTCGTGATCTCCACTGCAAACCGTCCTTTCTTGGTGGTAGTAACCTCTCCGATCTGCATGGCATACGCATGGGGAATATCAAAGCACAAATGTTGCACTTTTGAGAAGAAAACGCAAACTCAATGCTATATTGAAGCACAATCCCTTATTTTTACCACACTGCTAGAAGCTCGTTGAATTAGCACACTATCAACTCTATTTCTCCACCCAGCCCAGCTCCTTTCGCTGCCCCCCTCATAGGACAATACTACACACTCCCCCTTGTCCTCCTTGCAACAACTCCCCCTCCCCTTCCCCAACCATACTCCCTTTCCACCGAAACCACATCGCCACTCCTTCACACCAAACCTGACATAACAGCGCTCCCACTATCCATCCCTCATCTTGCTCCCCTCTCAACCCCTACTAAACCTCTCCTTCCCTCCTCAATGGCTGTCCCATCCCCCATGGCACGACTTTGCCACTCTTCCACACTCTTCCACAGCATCCCGCAACTCACCAGCACTCCCACACTCCTCAATCCCGTCTCCTTTCATCCCTCCAAAACCCCCAACCACACTCCACCCCTTCTCACCTTGCATCTCCCTTTCCCCACACCTACGCCACATTACCACTCTTGAGCACCACTCCTGCCTTGGCCCATACCCTTCCCTTCTATTCCTGATCAAATACATTCCTCAGCAGAAATGTATCCAATCCTCCCCTCTTCTCACCTTGCACCTCCCTTTCCCCACACCCACACCACATCACCACTCTTGAGCACCACTCCTGCCTTGGCCCATACTCTTCCCTTCCATTCCTGATCAAATACATTCCTCAGCACAGATGTATCCAATCCTCCCCTCTTCTCACCTTGCATCTCCCCTTCCCGCGCACCGACACCACATCACCAACTTCAGCAACACTCTTGGATTGGTTGATTTCCCTCAGCATAAACCTCACCTTCCATCTTCCCCACTCCTCGCCTTTTATCTCTCCACTCCTCGCCTTTTATCTCTCCCCTCCTCGCCTTTTATCTCTCCCCTCCTCGCCTTTTATCTCTCCCCTCCTCACCTTGCATCTCCCCTTCCCTCGCACCGACACCACATCACCACTCTTGAGCACCACTCCTGATTTACTCGCCTCTCTCCAATTCACTCGTACATCGCCCTTGCTGGGAGAGCAGGGTTTCGGGGGGGAAGGCGGGGCAGGAGAAGGGAGGCGAAGGAGAAGCGAGTTAATTTTGCAGCATCACAAGTCTTCAGCATCACACCTAGCTGGGCTTTAAGAGGAGCCCCAAAGCTAGCCAGGCTGAGTTCTGCCAGTGCAACACGGATACGGAATAGCCGGCCGCGTACGTCTATCTTGCTGAGTTTTTGAGACGTTTCAAAAACTCACTTAATTCACATCGCACGTGTATCTTGCCGACAGACATGACGCGAGCTCACATGCTTGAGATGTCTTTTGAGACCCTCAAGAGTGTTTCTATTTTTGCGAGGCACCTCAAAAAGCAGACATAAGGCGAGCTCACATGCTTGAGATGTCTTTTAAGACGTCTCAAGAGCTGTCAGAGTTTATCCGAGCTTACGCTGTGAGCTAGGAGTGGGAGTGGTGGAAGGCAGCAGTGGCAACGACATCAGAGTGAGAGATTGGGAACTAGTGACCGCTCCCACGCCGCAACCACACGGTGATGAGCTTATCTGAATTGGATTGGGCTTGCTATGCTGAGCTGAAGTGCGCTGTCGCTATTAGGTCGGTGAACTTGGAGCGGGAAAGGCGGAAAGCACTGTAATGATCACAGAGTTCTCACCAGTGTTACACTCCGCCTCTCCCGCTCCAAGGTCACCGACCTCATAACGTAAGTTCGGCACATCCCTGTCTGCATGTAATCTTATCAATAGTTCCGGTATCTGGGCCGGTTGATAGATGAGCTGAGCACTGCTGAGATGAGGTAAGTTGAGATGACTTTTGAGTCGACTCAAAAGTAAGTTGAGATGAGCTCACACTATTAGCAAGATCACGCGGAGGTGAACTGAGCTCACGCTATGAGGTCGGTGAACTTGGAGCGGGAGAGGCGGAAGGCGGCACTGGCGACGGCGTCCAGACGCAAGGAAGCTTCCACCGTGCGAAGCGTGTCGATTCTGGTGGGGGGAAGAGGAGAGGGGGACCGAGATAGGAGGGTTGGAATGGAAGATGGGAAGGGAGGAGTGTGTGATGTGAAGGGAGGAGTGTGTGATGGGAAGGGAGCACTGGCGACGGCGTCAAGACGCAAGGAGGCTTCCGCCGTGTGGAGAGCGTCGATCCTGGTGGAAAAGATAGGCTGGAGAAGCTGGAAACGAAAAGCAAGACGCAAGGAGGCTTACTCTCCAGGATCGACGCTCTCCACACGGCGGAAGCCTCCTTGCGGGAGAAGCTGGAAACGAAAAGCAGATGGCGACAGGAGGAAAAGATAGGCTGGAGAGGAAACAGGTGGGAGGATACGCATGGAATGGAGGGCAAGGGAGGAAGGGAGAAGTTTGCAAGATTGGAATGGAAGATAGTGAGCAGGGAGACACAACACACAGAGGACGAGGGGTGGAAGAGGGAGTGATGAAAGCTCACTTGGGAGTGAAGATAAGCCCATATGTTTTTGAGACGACTCAAAAACAACCTCGCTTCACGTGGCTCACTTGGGAGTGAAGATATGCCCATATGAGATCCTCGAGAACAATGAGCTGTACGGTGACAGGTTCGCATGGATGATGAGGCTTCGCACCGCGGTGCACTGCGGTGAGCGATGAGTGATGAGTGGTACTAATGTTCGAAGCACAGCACATTCTCTCACTGGTGATAAGGGGGGGAGAGAGAGCGAGCTCTCACCTGGGAGGGGAAACTGAGAGGTTGGAGAGAGCGATGGGCTGTATGGGTCGAGTTTTGAGTCGACTCAAAACTTGAGTGGTGCGAATGTGGAAAGCACAGCACATTCTCTCACTGGTGATAAGGGAGAGAGAGAGAAGGAGCGAGAGAGAGAGAGAGAGAGAGAGAGAGAGAGAGAGAGAGAGAGAGAGAGGATTAGCCTCTCCCCTTCTACCCTCTGCCCTCTGCTTTCTGCCCTCTGCCATGACTACTTAAGGCCACGGCGGCCTCTCCATCTCTCATTCTTTCAGTTAGTGCTGAAAATTTTGGTGTTGTTCGAGAGAGCGAGAGAGAGAGAGGATTAGCCTCTCCCCTTCTACCTCTGCCCTCTGCTTTCTGCCCTCTGCCATGACTACTTAAGGCCACGGCGGCCTCTCCATCTCTCATTCTTTCAGTTAGTGCTGAAAATTTTGGCGCTTCGCGCCGGCGGCCTTCGGCCGCCGGCGCTCGCGTGCGCGGCCTTCGGCCGCACGTTAGGGATGGCAAGGGGAAACAACAAGCAGTAGTAGCTTAGGCAACCGATACAAACAAAGCAAGCATAGACACTTAGCAAGTAGAGGATGGAACGGGTCTACACGCGCAAGGGGGGAGCGCCTACATGCGGTCCGCCTCTACCGCAGCGAGCATTCCGCTCGTGTTCAACCACAACTGGCGGACCACAGACACGGTGGCGCCTACAACGTCAACAGGAGTACCAGGGCCTGCTACAAGCGTCCTCAGAGCCAGGGCCGAGTCAGCCAGCTGGCTGGCCGAGGTTGCTCCCGGCGAGGGCGCTACCTGCAGTGGCGTTACGAGCGCGAATAGCGCTGACGCCGCCACATGACAATCTGCTCGCGGTTTCTGAGAGAACCTGCTCGGAGGGCTCACCGGCATGGAGTCAAATGACTCCTGGAGAATCCGCTCAAGGCTCTGCAGGGACGCCGCCAGCGACCATAGGCGGGCCAGGGTCGCCGTGGGAACTTCCTTCATCGGCGGAAGCAACGCAGACGCGCGGGCACGGTGAGACGACACGGCAAGATCACGCGGAGCAGGAAGAGGACGCGGCGGAGCAAACTGAGCCCACGGCGGCCCGCCACCAGCACCTACGAAGCCCATCCCCGCAGGCAGCGGCCGCTCTGAACGCGCCGGGGATCCAAAGGGATTGTGGGGCAGGAGCGCGGAGAGAGGGACGACGGGAGCAGCGCGAGGAGCTGATGGTGACGTCGACCCCGCACGCGAGCGTCGAAGCTCCTTCTCCACGTCATCAAGCCTATCCAGAAGACGGCGCTCCATTGCGGACGGCGCTGGACCCGCTTTTCCGCCGCGACTGTCACCCCCCCGTCGCCCACGACGCGCACGCCCACTTGCGCTCGAGCGCACAGGCGACTGCGGGCGAGATGGGCCCTGCTGACGCTGGCGGCCAGGAAAACGGTCCCCGCGACGAGGGGAGTAGAGCCGTTGGCGCTTTGCAGGAGGGGGCGAACGCGGAGCTGGGGGCCGACGCCCAGACGTCTGGCGGGCAGGCGACCGCTGGCGAGATGAACGATGAGGGGGCGAACGATGACGATGCGAACGGCGGTCACGGGATCGGCTTCGCGACGCCACGTGACGAGGCGAACGAGGAGACAGCGGCGAACGGGCCGCACCGTGACGATCATCGCGGCGGCTCTCCCGCTTATCGTCGCGAGCTGCCGATGAGCGACGGCGAGGCGAACGCTCCTGGTGCGCCACAGCCTCTGCGCCGGAGCGCAAGACGAACCCCGCGCGCAGGGGCTCCGGCGGTGACAAGGACCTGCCCGCGCGCCGAGCCAGCTCGCGCTGCTGGTCCTCGAAGCGGCGGCGGATCTGATCAGCGGACGCCGGTGGAGCAACAGGTACGCTCGCGGCAGGGCGTGCAGGAGGAAGCGGACGGGGAGCGGGATCGCTCTCCGCGGTGCAGTCGCGGCCCAGAGCGCCGAGGAAATCCATCGGCGAGCGCTCAGGGCGCTCCACTGCCACAAGAGGAGCCGACGACGCCGATCTCCCAGGCGCAACAGGCGGCACCTGTGGCAGCCACTCCGAGGAGCGGACGGGGAAGCACGCGGGGGAGAGGCGGGGGTCGAGGAGCGCGCGGAGGGCAGCGGAGTGCAGGCCAAGCGGCGAGGGGGAATCCGCGCCAACTACCAAGCCCAATCTGGTTGGGGGAGCCGGCGGAACGAGTCACGCGCCAGTCGTTTGCTAGACGCGGGGGGAGAGGGGGAACGACAGCGCAAGCAGTGAGAATCGGTGATACAAACGCAGAAGGGAGCGGCGACGAATATATACCGTCAGATCTGAGGCAACCCGACAACCCCGACTCACCTCTCGCGGAAGCGGGGGAGGACCAGGCGCAGCAGCAGGAGAGAGGTTCTAGACGCCGACAGAACCGCAGACCCCAACCCCCTCCGGACCAAGCCCTGTCAGCGTCCCAGCTGGCATCGAGGGAGGATCTCTTTGAGATCGCGATGAGCTGGGACTCTTCAACCCTAACGTCAACCACCCACCCGCCTATCGTCCGCCGCCTGCCGCCGCAGATACTAAGCGACTACTCCACCTGTATGCTGGCCGCCCTCTTACGGATCTCCAAACTGCCCAACTGCGCGGGAGCGTGGCGGGTCCTCATGTTCCTGCCACGTCTCACCTTACGACTTAGCAGGAGGTCCAGCTCTAAGTGGAAGGTGCTGCGAGAGCAGATGCACCTATTCAGATGTGGCCACTGGAACCAGCTCTACAGTGACTACGTGGGGTCCCTGCACCAAGCTGAGCCACCTCAGCACCAAAACGACCCCCTGGGAATCTGCTCACGTGTGGAGGGGTTGGTGAAACGGGGTAACCTGCGAAAAGCGTTGGCAGCCCTCTCACCCTCGCCAGCGGCCCCTGCGACGATCGCAACATTGCAGCAGTTGGAATTGAAACATCCCCAACCCCAAGTTGAGCTGCCCGACTGGGTCCACACCTACACAACACCCACGCAATTTTCGTGCACCGCGGAAAGTTTCTCAGACGTCCTTGGGGATTGCCCCAGCGGAGTTGGGGCTGGTCCATCCAGGTCAACATTTGAACACTACCGCGACCCAGCCCTAAGCAACATCGAAGTGCTGGGGCACCTACACTCCGCCGTAACACATCTTCTCTCCACGAATCTTTCCACCGAGGTTGCAGCACTACTCTCGCCATCCCGCCTCATCGCCTTCGCGAAACCAGGGGGGGGGGTACGCCCTATCGCAATAGGGGAATCCCTACTCCGGTTGGCAGCAAAGGTGGCACTCTCGGAACTGCAAGGAGAAACAAGGCGATTTTTCTTACCCCAACAATTCGGTGTGGCAGTCCCAGGCGGAGCTGAGTTCGTTATACATGCAGTCAGAGACCTCACCACTTCACAACCTTCCAGCCTAGTCCTCCAACTCGACATTGAAAACGCTTTCAACTCCGTAGAGAGGAAAGCGTTCTTCAACGCACTCACCAACACCCCGCTAGCACCGCTCATACCTTTCACCCGCTCCTTCTACGCAACGCCTTCTCAGCTGCTGACCGATCCCCGCTTGAGCACGACGGCACTTACCAGCGGAAGGGGGGTGAGGCAGGGGGACCCCCTCGGACCCCTGCTGTTCGCGGCATCAATCCAGCAGCACCTCAGACGCACAGCAGCAGAGCACCCAGAAGTCACGATCCTAGCATACGCAGATGACATCACCATGATCGGACCGGCGACAGCAACGCTCGGCGCGCTTAAGTTGCTGACGCCGCTGCTCGCCCAGGATGGCCTCACCTGCAACCTCAGAAAATCGTCGGCGTGGTCCACGACGCCGCTTGAGGGTGACGAGCTCCCCGAGGGCCTCCCACTCACCCACGAGGGGGTACGGGTGTTGGGAAGTCCCGTGGGGTCACAGCGCTTCTGCTCTGACCTGGTCCGCAGTACTCTGACAGACGCAGCGGCACCCCTGGGCTCCCTAGCATCCATCCATCCACAGCATGCCCTCCTGCTCCAATCCCGCTGCATCAGCCGCAGAATCGGCTACTTGCTGCGCACCACCCCAGCAGATGTCCTTCCCCTCTCGGAATGGCACGCGTGGTGCGCCGAACTGCTCAACACCGCCCTGACTGCCGCCAGCATCCAACCACCCCGCCGCGAAGCCGAGTTCAATTTTCTCATCCGCCAAGCAACCCTCCCAGTGGCCCTAGGTGGACTGGGCCTCACGGATCCCACAACAGAAGCAGCACCAGCCTACCTGGCCTCAACGACAGAGGCACTACGCCTGCTCCGCTCACTCGACCTGCCAGCAACCGCGGCGCTAGGGAGCAACAGCAACGCCCTGCAGCCGTCTGCGGCACACTCGGTCACCATCCAAGACATGGAGGGACGACTGCCGCCGCTGGCGCTGCAACACCTCCGTGAGGAGCAAGAAACCCCGTCCCAAGACCAGCTGCAGCGGGCCCTCTCTCAGGAAGTGCACGCGGCAAAGGCCGACACCCTGACAGAGGAATCACGCTCAATCAGGTCAGCCCCCGAGATGGGCCACACGCTCCGCCTCGTCAGCCTGAGAGGCGAGGGAGCGGGAGCATGGCTGCAAGCCCTACCCCTGACCCCAGACCTCTCCTTCTCACCAGGGCAATTCCGAACAGCCCTGGCCTTCCGCATGGGCATCCGACAGAACGTACCTACTGTGTGCGAGTGTGGAGAGCTCGTGGCCGACTGCAGCCTACCCAACCACCTACTCCGCTGCAGCACAGGCCCGGACAGACACAATCAGCTGGCCTTTGCCGTGGCAAAAATGGCGAGGGAGGCGCAGCTGGTGGTATACCTGGAGAATGCAATGTACTCACCACCGGATGACCCGAAGAAGGCCGATGTGATGGTGCGTGACCCAGACAGTGGAGAGACCTGGATCACAGACACGACTATCACCGACCCTGTGCTGCAGAACCGGGACCCCACAGCCCGCAAACCCCCAGGCTGGGCTGCAAGGGAGGCTCAGAAGCGGAAGGAAAGGGATTACTACCGGCACACAGAACACGTGGTGTTCTGCGCCCTGGCCGTCGAGACCTATGGGGCAAACGCGCCCCCCACGACGGCGTTCCTGAAGCTGCTGGCCACAGCAGCAGCTAGGAACCGGTTCAGGGCCAACCCCCTGGCGAAATCGGCCAAGAAGATGGCCTGCCACTTCAGCCAGCGCTGGTCAGTGGCCCTCCAGCGCTCCCAGGCGAATGCCCTGCACACCAAGGCCAGGGCGGGGATTGAGGCAGCGCACCCCCAGATGGCAGCGGACCCATGGCCGCTGCACCTAGGGGACATCCTCCACACGTTGGAGGGTTAGAGGGGCACTAAGGGAGGGGGGGGGAGGGTCAGAGGGATGGGTTGATGGGTCGGAAGGTATAAGGGAACCACGAGTCAAATTGCATGTCTGTACCCCCTGCTGAATTAATACAAAGGACCATTTGAGAGAGAGAGAGAGAGAGAGAGAGCGAGAGAGAGAGAGAGAGCTCACCTGGGAGGGGAAACTGAGAGGTCGGAGAGAGCAATCGGGTGCACAGTCACTGGCACGCGGTGCACCGCGGTGAGTGCTGAGAGCAGGAATTCTTGAAGGTCCGGAGCGATTATGACCTGTGCTCCCTCGCCCTCCTGTGGGGTGAGAGTGAGGAGAGAGAGAGATGAGAGGAGAGGAGTGGGGCATGGGGTGTATTGTGACTGGCACGCGGTGCACTGCAGTGAGTGCTGAGAGCAGGAAGTCTTGAAGGTCAGAAGTGACTAAGACCTGTGCTCCCTTGCCCTCCTGTGGGGTGAGGGGGGGGAAAGAGGAGAAGAGAGGAGACGAGTGGGGCATGGGGTGAACGGCAGTGAGCGAGGAGAGCAAAAAGTCTTGAAGGTCTGGCGTGATAATAACCTGTCTCGAAGCCACAGGTCTGGCGTGATAATGACCTGTGCTCCCTCCCCCTCCTGTGGGACGTGAATCGGAGGAAGAGAAAGAGAGGCAGGCTTGCGGGTGCACCAGATCGGAATTATGTGAATTGCTCTCGCAGGTCTGGTGGGTGCGAACATTGAGGCAGGCTTGTGAATGTTCGTGACAAGGCATCTCGAACATTGAGTAATACTGGCGGCTTGGATTCGAATTCGAGTAAACATAGAGTGGGCTCACCAGCAGAATGACGTCACCAACTTTGTCTCTTGTGATCCCCGTACCGAGCACTGCTCCCAAGAAATCACCGTGTGACACTGATGTTTGCTTGAACGCGCCTGATACCCTGTGGGAGGGGGATGGAGAGGAAGAGCGAGAGAAGGAAGCAGGAAACAAGAGTCAGAGACAGGGGATACGAGGGGAAGAAGAATCAGGCATGCAAGATGCATCTGGATCCTAATAAAAGCCTATGAAAGGGGAAGGATGGAAAAGGAAGAGAGATGAGGGATAGCAGGGGAAGGGAGCTCAGACATTTGATGTGTATCCCTGTTCCCGGCACTACCGCTGCAACTGCGCAAAGGTTAACGGCTGCAACTGCGCAGAGGTTAACGGCTGCAACTGCGCAGAGGTTAACGGCTGCAACTGCGCAGAGGTTAACGGCTGCAACTGCGCAGAGGTTAACGGCTGCAACTGCGCAGAGGTTAACCGCTGCAACTGCGCAGAGGTTAACCGCTGCAACTGCGCAGAGGTTAACGGCTGCAACTGCGCAAAGGTTAACGGCTGCAACTGCACTCCCTCCCTCCCTCTCACAGATGGCATGAGCGCATTCTTTAAGCTATGTAAAAGCATCACCTCGCTGCTGCAACGGCGCCTGGGTACCCAGCTGCCAGCGCTGGTACAGCATGGCCCATGGCACCATCACCAGCATGCAGGAGCATTGGCAACCTCACCATTCCCTCTGCTGCCATGAGAAAGTGCATGCTTTATGCGCCTCACCTCACTGCCGCAACGGCGCCTGGGTACCCAGCTGCCAGCGCTGGTATTGCATCAGCATCAGCAGCGTCTGCACCAACACCCGCACCCACTCCCATGCTGCTATATACACCTAGAACCGCGCATCACCTCACTGCCGCAACGGCGCCTGGGTACCCAGCTGCCAGCGCTGGTACAGCATCAGCATCAGCAGCGTCTGCACCCACTCCCTCTGCTGCCATCAGCTCTGCGGGTCCCACTGAAATTCTGCACCGCTCTGCCTGTTGAAGCAGGGAGGTGGGGAAGAGAGAAGGGACGGGCGACTGGTAACACCATCTGCAGCAGCATCTGCCACTCCCTCTGCTGCCATCAGCTCTGTCGGTCTGATACCCTGCACCGCTCCGCCTGTTGATGAAGGGAGGAAGAGTAGAAAGGGGACAGATGGACAGGCAAGGGCTAGCCGTGGTTGGTTGCTTTTGCATGGTTCCCCCAATGCCAGCAGCAGCATTCGCATCCGCACCCACTCCCTCTGCTGCCATCAGCTCTGTAGGTCTGATACCCTGCACCGCTCTGCCTGTGGTGGTGAGGGGGAGGGGCGGAAGGAGGGGAGAGAGGAGCGCCTCAAACTCTTGAGGAAAACCGAGAAAGGAGGGTGGGGAAGGAGGGATAACCACACACCTGAAAGCAAAGTGCGTAAGTAACACACTCGAAAGCAAATAAGTAACACACTTAAATGCACATAAGTAACACACCTGAAAGTAACCGCCAGAGAGGATGGCAGTGACGTCAGCCATGTTGGAGAGGATGGGCATGATGGCGGCTTGAGAGGCTGGGGAGAGGAAAGCGGAGTGCAGCACTGCATAGGAGGTGAGGGCACGATTGGCCTGGGGAATGGGGAAGGAGTGTCACGAGGGAGAGGAAGGGCAGAGGGGATGGCCGAGAGGTGAAGTATATGGGAGGCCGGGAGAGGAAGGCTGAGTGCAGCACTGAATAGGAGGTGAGGGCACGATTGGCCTGGGCAATGGGGAAGATGAGGGCAGGGCAGGCAGGGAGGGCAGGGAGTGGGCATGCGCAATGGGGGAGAGGAAGGCGGAATGCAGCACTGAGTAGGAGGCGAGGGAGAAATCGGGCTGGCGTGTGTGGGGGAGAAGGGGGAGAGGGGAGCGGAAATGGAAAGGGGGAATGGGAGGGGAAAGCACGAGCAATGGGGGAGAGGAAGGCCGAGTGCGGCACTGAGTAGGAGGTGAGGGAACGATCGGCCTGGGCAATGGGGAAGGATTGTGAAGAGGGAGAGGAAGGGCAGAGGGGATGGCAGAGAGGAAGGGAAGAGAGGTGAGACATCTGATCTGAGAGAGGATGGGCATGATGGCGGGTTGGGAGGTGGGGGAGAGGAAGGCGGAGTGCAGCACTGCATAGGAGGCACTAGCAAAGAAAAGGGGTAAAGAAGGGAGCGATTGGCGTGAGGTGAAGGGGTGCAGCACAAGCCCTCCTCCGCCATTCAGTTGGAAACTACCAGCACCTTCCTCCCCCCTCGTGATAAAAGTTATGTTTCGGGACGTCTCAAAACATTCAGTTGCTAACTGTTTTGCCCCGCCTTCCCCCTTCCCCCGTCCCCCTTCCCCCAGCTTCCTCCTGTTTTGCCCCTCCCGTTCTGCCTCCCCTGCCCCGCCCCGCACCCACCAGCTCTAGCACTCGGCGAGCAGTCTCCTGCTCTTCACCACTCACTCCCGCCAGCAGCGGGTGCCGCCCCTCCCCTTTCCCCCGCACGCCACCAAGGGAAACTCCAGCCTCGCGCCTCCCCGCGCGCGCCTGCACTGCGCAAGGGGGAAGGGGAAGCGCGGAAGTTGAAATGCGGGAGTGGCGCACACGTGGGTTCGCACACAGAGGTCGCGCACACTTGGGTTCGCACACAGAGGTCACGCACACTTGGGTTCGCACACAGAGGTCGCGCACACGGGGACGGACTGCTAAAAGCTGTTTCGAAGCCTGAGTGTAACCCTAAAGTCGCGTCGCGTACCTGTAAACGGAGCGCTTGAAAAGCGCTGCTCTGTATGGCCAAGTCGGACAGGTGTAATCAACAACGGAGCCGCGTGCCACGCGCCGCCCCGCCGCATTAGTAGCTGGCGAGTTATGAGGAGGCTTCTGACCGGGGCTAGCGAGCCGAGAGCCATCTTGTCAACACTGCAAAGAAAATATTAAGTTGAAAGGTTACTACACCTATTTGCGATCAGACACGCGCGACGCGAGTTTTGAAAACGGGCTTTTCTGTAGCGTCACCCACTCCTGGTTACTTTTCGGAATAGCAGGTTAGAGCGGAGTCGGATCAACGGCGACGCGTGAATCTAAGAACCGTGATATGCAAACTTTCCCTTCGCAACGGTTAGTCGAGTCGGGTCGCGTGGCAAGCGCGAGAGTTAGTCGCTGGAATTTGCTCCGTGCGAAATTCGCACTCCGGAAAAGTCAGAGTTAGGGTCGGAGTGAGACGCTTTGTCTACGCCTCCACCTCCGTCTACGTCTACGTCGCTATCGTTCCGTCAACGTTCACGTCTATAGACGTCTACGTCTCCGTCGACGTCAGATGTATGGATGTGCCTGAGTCAGGGTTTGCGATTCGGCTCCTGAAAATCGGGTTCCTGAGTGTCTAGCTGAGGTCAAAACTCCTTACTAGGGAAATCTAGAAGCAGATCCGACTCCCCGCATCTCGCGGAAATCTGAACATGATTGCGCGGCGTGTATCTGAGCGTGTCCCTTCGGCGAGTGATTGCGTGACGCAATCAATGCATCCTCGGAACCATGGCTGTCGCGGAGCGGGTGTACGCGGCGCGTGTTTCTAAGAAGCACTTGGTTTAGGCCGAGTCAGCACCGATTAATCTCAGCTCTGACCAGCACTAAGGCAAGAAACGGATTGTAACGCTAAGGTAATCCTAATCAGCATGACAGTATAATTTTAGGGTCGCCATTTACAGAACTTGAGTTACTAAATCCATCTCATATGATATCAAGGATTACAAGTTCGTGCAAGAAAAGGTGAATTGTTTCCTAACGCGACAGAGCATGATTGTAGCACGCAGGCGCATATCCATACATAGTATCAGGCTGCAACTAGTAAGCGACACGCATATCCTGACAGTTTTCTGCGGTAGCATGATTTCCCGACATCTTGTGTTGATTTCATGACTACCCATGGAATTGCTACCAAACGCGCCCAGTCCCACTTCTCTCGCGCCGCGAGCTCCAATACGCCATCATCAGCAAAATCAACGCGCGTAAGACCGACGATGGCCAGGAGCTCTGTCAGCACTTCTCGATCCTAGCAACAGCATGAACACAAGCCTGCACGAACCTGCGAAACCATGAAGGGCTTTCGCGAGCTTGCGTACGCACAAGCAGCCTTGTATCTCCTCAGCAGGCTCTTAGTCCGCCATCATTGGTACCGAAGCGCCCATCGCCGCGCGCCGAGAGTTCTGCCGGCACTGCTCGATCATGGCGGCGCGCGCCTGCATGAGCCCGTCGGGGCGGAACGCGCAATCCACATTCGACCAATCCACCCACTCCGCCGCCCCCTGCTCCCCTCCGAACGCCGCCGGAAGCGTCGCGCTGTTTGCCCGGACCCGCCGGTTGGCCGCCGGCGGCGCCAGCGGCGCAAACGCCTTCGTGTCCGCTCTCGCAGCGGCGGGAGTGGCGGCGCCAAAATTCCAGGGGGAGGTCGGCCCGAAGCGCGCGGGCTCGTCGACGTTCATGTATTCCGCGGCGCCGCGGTCCCTTGCCGGAAAGTACGCCGCTTCTGGCGGGAAAGGGTCGTTCATGATGCCGGCGGCCGTTTGCGGCCGTTGAAAACCAGTAGTAGCAGTGGCAGCAGCAGCAGCAGCACCAAGAGTACTTTTATTAGTAGTCTTGGTAGCGATGCTCTGTCCTGAACAAACCTCATCGCCGCTTTCAGAGCTGTGTTGCGATACCTCCGCGTCGGGATGCGCGTGTACGCTGCTTTCGCGACACGGCACGTAGATCGGACGGCCCAGATGCTCCTGCTGCTGCTGCTGCGGCTGTTGCAGCTGCTGCTGTTGAGGGTGTGTCGAGTGGACTGTCGCGTCGAGCGAGCGACGGCGACGGGAGATTTGAGCCGCGTATGGAGAGTATAACGAGTTTTGTAGTATCGGGTTATGAGACGGGCGCTCGAGTTGGTCGAGCTGAAGGGACCGCCGGGGACGTCGTTGATCGTCCATGGCGTAATCCATAGCTGCCAGACGGCGGTACGCTTAGAAAGAACCGAGGACAATAACTCAAAAAATCACCTTGGCAGATGGAATTTACGGTGGAAACTCGGATGAGGAAGCTGCAGAAGAAGTCAACTTGGTAGTACCTGCCGCTTCAAATCAATTGCTTCGCAATAGATGCTGAAGACTATTGATGTGAACTACGGAAAGCAGAGCAGACCGTGATAATCTATTGGAACCAGGCAGAGCCCTGTGAAATAGGCAGACGCGCGGGGTGCGCCAGACTTAGTCTAGGTCCAAACCAACAGCCTAAGACTGATTCGGAGGTGCAGCAAACATAAAGTAGCAGCACAGAATGTGGATAAATGAAGCTGGCAATGCTTTCTTCACTAGGGAAGGGAAGCAGCAAGGCCAGCAGTGTGTGTGGTTCACGAATCAATAAGGGCTTTGTTGGCCATGTGGGCTCTGCCTGCCCACGCAAGCAGCAGAGTAGTGAGGGATTCAAATTTCACAGGCATCAGGTGTGGGATGCAGCAGAGACGGGATGTTCCACAGCCTACAGTACAGTATGAGCGAGTGAGGGAGGGAGGGAGGGAGGGAATGAGGGATTGAGAGAGTGGGACGGGACGGGATGCACACGCGATGATCGAACAGCCTACAGCAGAGTGAGTGAGTGAGTCTGTGAGGCTGTGAGGATTTGAGTGAGTTTTGGGGGGATTGAGTACGATGGACACAGATTCTTCTACAGTCATGTACAGCGTCCAGTATGATTGAGTGAGAGAGCGAGTGAGGGAACGAGTGAGGGAGGGAACGGGTGAGGGAGGGGTGAGGAGGAAATCAAGCCTGGAAATTGGATCTGAAGCTGAAAGGGCATTGGACGAGAAAAGAGTGAAGGGTTGCTTGGGGGTTGACCGATACAGTTGGGGGGAAGCGGAAATGAAGCTGCGCGATGGGGAGAGAAAGCGCAGGGGGCAGAGAAGAGTCCATTCGGAACCGAACCGAACCGACCAAACCATTCTCAGGCAAGGCAAGAAAGCTCGGTTCTTGGCGTTGTCTGAGGTCTGTACAGTGGTTCTCTTCGGAAAGGAAGGCTAGGAAACGTCCGCCGAACTATTGATGGTCCCACAGCGCTATACTGATCCGGTTTGGGAATACCGAAGCAAGAGTTATGGAGGTGGCGGAAGTATGCCTCCGCCTGAGGCGCCCGAAACAACAATGGAATGCATATAGCTGACCAATGACAGCACGTCCTCAGGCCAGCTGGCTTGGTGTGTGCTTCACAGCAGCAGCTAGGCAGGGTGGCCACGCTGGCAAAACCATTCAATGGCCAAAAGATGCTTATGATGAATAAACCAATCGGATTCTAGAAAAAAACACGACTGCCGATTCTCACTTGCGACAGAAACGACGACGTGGCGTTCCGAATGGAAAATGGCCAAACTACGAAATTTTGACGAGATACTGCCCACGGTTTGTGGCAACCTCACTGCACTGGAGCCAACCAGAGCAACGCATTTGGTACAACAGATGCAACAGAAATCTGTCCAGCCTGTCGCTGGATTCCGCCACAAATTTCCATGAAATTTCCAGAAATCTGTCGAGCTGTGTTTGTCTTTTTCCTGATTCGCAAAACGCGGTTGTTGGATGGAGGCGGGTCACGCGGTTCTGCTGCTGCTGTAGCACCACAGAAGGGAGCATCCGACAATTGCCATATCCCAGAAACGAACACTAAAACATGATGGAAACCCAAGACAGTCTACACAACACCTTACATGTTTTTTAAATCAAATGGACAAATTTCAAAGCAAACCAACCACAACATAAAAACCACACTCAACTCATGGCACAAAGGCTAGCCGTAACTTTTAGTTTACTTACTGCAACCTTCCTATACACGTCTTGTTAATCTTGCCGTGCATCAATCTCACTCCCTGCCCCATTGCCTCACAGCTTTTCCGAGTCCGAAAGTGAACCACTAGAGGCTGCCAGACCTGGGACCAGCACCAACGCAGATTCCGAGGTTTGGCCCAAGCCTACCAGGCCCAAGTCTGCAACTGCCAGGATCCTGTCAGCCTGGGAAGTGGCGCGAAAGCCAGCAGAGCTGGGAAGTTGAAGGGGGTTTGAAGGAGTGGAGAGAGGTGCGGTCATAGGGGATGTGAGAGGACCAGCAGCAGCCGGTACAGTTGGGGCAACGAACCCCTCAAGTGATGCAGCAGAGGTGCCCCCAGCAGTAGTGAAAGCAGCGGCGGCGGCGGCAGCAGCGGTGCTGGCTGCGGCGGCAGCGTCTACCCCAGCCCTCAAGCTTGCAACATACTCTGTGAGGTCTGAGGTTCGGGAAATCCCACAGGTCCGGGACCGCCGAGCCAGAACGTTAGGTGCGGAACTGCAATCTTCTGCGAGAGGGGTGGAGAAGGAGGTGGAAAGGAGGGGAGCCGAGGAGGAGGAAGGAAGAAGAGGTTGCGAGCTCCAGGTGTTGAGAAAGGGGGAATCTAGTCCGGATAGAGGAGGAGACGCGTGGTGGTTGAACGAAGACTGCTGCTGTTGGTCCTGCTGCTGGTGCTGCTGCTGGTGCTGCTGCTGGTGCTGCTGCTGGTGCTGCTGCTGTCGCTGCTGCCGCTGCCGAAGCAACTTCCGCAAAAGCATCTCCCGTTGCCTCTCCTCCTCCTTCTGCTGCTGCCGACTCTGTTCCTGCTGCTGCTCCCACTGCTGCTGCTGCTGCTCACGCTGCTGCCTCTGCTGCTGCTCTTCCTGTTCGCGCTGGTACTGCACGCGCATGTGATGGGACCACCGCTCCCTCTGCGACCACCGGCCCCGCTTCACCTGCCATGCAGGCCGGTCCGACAGCCCACGGGCTTTACCCGCTGCGGCAACACCAGCACCACGAGACGCACCGCCAGAAGCAGAAACAAGAGCATCAGCAGGAGAAATTGGAGCAGCAGGAGCTGCAGAGCCAGCAGCAGCTGAAGCACCAAGGATGGGTCTGCCAATGCCGCTGCTGCTGCACACAGTGCTGCCACCGCTGCAGCCCCTGCCCCGCCCAAGCCACCCACCGAACCTCTTCTCCCCAGCCATCCGCTCCAAAGCAAATTCGTTGGCTCGGATGCTTGCTTCGATCATGCCTTGTATATCTCGGCCACTTTCCTCCCCTGCTCCTCCTGCTGCTCCTGCTAATGCTCCTGCTGCTGCTACTCCTGCTGCTTCTGCTGTTCCTTTCACCCCCACTGCAGCAGTAGCAGCAGCGGGAACAGGAATAGCAGCAGCAAGGAGGTTACTGCTAGCAGCTGTGAATCCATAACTGTTCCCAGTGGTGCTTGTGTTGCAGGTGGCACCTAGAAACGAATCCAGGTGCATCTGGGGAAGGTCGCCTCTCCTCCTGCTGCTGCTGACGGTAGTGCTGCGGCTGAAGCTGCTGCCGCAGCCGAGAGTGTTGCTGCCTGTTCTGGGGGTGCTTGCGACGGTGCCTGAAGCAACAGCAGCAGCAACAACCGCAGCAAGGTCTCCGCTGCTTGTCTGCTGAAGCTGCTGCTGTTGCTGCTGTTGCTGCTGCTGTTGCTGCTGTTGCTGCTGCTGCTGCTGCAGGAAAAGCAGTTGCTGTTCCAACCCTTGTTCCCAGGGCAGGGGCAACATCTCCCTTTCCAAAATCCCCAATTTTTCCAGCTCCTTCTGTTGAACCTGCTTGTTGGGTTGAGGTTCGGCAGCCGCCGAGTCTGCCAAGGAGGTCCGGAGACTGGGGTCCGCGATAGCCACGGCAGAGATAGCCTCGGCAAAGACAGCCTCGGCGGGGACCCCCTCGGCTGAGTCAGGCTCGGCAAAGGCAGGTTTGGTGAATGCCAGGCAGGTGAAGCAGGCAAGTCCCATTGTCCCCATTGCCACCTTCACATCAACCCCTTGTGCCCCACACACCGTGCATCCTTCTGAACGCTGCACTTGGGCGGAAGGGCGGCTTGGGCGCTGCAACGTGAACGTTGGGAGCAGGTGTGGAGAGGGAAGAGCGGTGCTGGCACATCCAGGACTCTGATTGGAGGGTTGGAGGGCGGGAAGAGCACCGAGAACTGCAGTGGACGACGGGGAGAGCGATGAGGCTGCAGCGGAGGGGGAGGAGAAGGAGGGGGAGAAGGTGGTTGATAGGCTCGCGGGAATAATGAATGCTCGCCCCCCTCCGCCGCCGCTCGTCCCGCTGCTGCCGCCGCCGCTCCCGCCGCCGCTGCTGCGGGCGCCGCCGCCACTGCTGCGGGCGCGGGCGAAGCTCCGACTGTGCGGATCCGCCGCCGCGGAGGTGTCAGCAGCCGCGCGCGCCGCGGATTCGCTGCCGCTTTTCCGCGCGCGCAGCGCGGCGCTGGCGGCGCCGAAGCTCGCGGGGAAGGGGTTGGGCTGCAGCAGCGGAATGGCGAGGGGCGCGCCTGGGGGGGATGCGGAAGCGGCGAGCGCGACCATTGCCTCTTGATTCGGGTCCACCGCGGAGAGCAGGCGGCTGCGGAAAGGACGCGCGGCTTCCGCCACATCTCCGCGCACATTGTCATCGACTGGGGGGGGCGCGGAAGCGGCGAGCGCGACCATTGCCTCTTGATTCGGGTCCACCGCGGAGAGCAGCCGCAGCGGCCGCGCAGCGACTGCCGTTTCCGCGGGTTGCGCAGTTTCCGCCGCCGCATTTCCGCGCGCGCCGCCGCCGGCGAAAGCGCCGCAATGCACGTCCGACCAGGCGGCGAATGTTCTCAAGGTGACTGATTCGAACTGGGGGTCGAAATTTCCGCCTTCTGATTGCGAGTTGGGAACTGGGAACTGGGAACTCAAACGGGACTTTCCGTTTTGCGAATTGGTTCCCCCGACAAGCGAGGTTTTCCTCTCCGAGTCTAGGGTTTCGCCGAATTGTTCCGCCCTGTCGTTCCCCTTGCTGTCAACTTGCGCGGAATACCATTCTCCGCTCGCCCCGTCCTCCCGCTTTTGTCCCTCTTGCTGCGGCTGCGCCGGTTGTTCCTTCCGCTGCGGCTGGTGTTGCTGTTGCTGTAGTAGCAGGGATGCTTGTAGCGCGGATATTGACGCCTCAAGCTCCGCTAAAGATGCTTCCGTCGACGCGGAGTTTCCCCACGGCGCGATCTCCGCCAACCTAATCCCTCCCTTCTCCGCCGCTCCGCCGCGCGTAATAGTAGCACCGCTTCCGCCTCCTTCCTGCGCTTCCGCCGGCGCCGGTCGCGCGCGAATCACCGCTTCCAGCAGGCCCTCGTACGTTCCGCTTTCCGCGCCCTCCGCGCCCTCCGCGCCCTCGGCGCCCTCCTCGCCGAACCGTCCGCGGACTTCCGCCTCCTCCGCAGCTGCTGCCGTCGCGATTTCGTCTCCGTGAGCAGACGTTGATTGTAGCAGCCGCGGCGCGTCCGTCGCAAGCTGCCTCGCCCCGTACAGCGCCGTGATCCGCGCAAGCGTCTCGGAGGGAGTTCCGCCGTTCCGCCCGCCGCCCCCCGCGCCAAGCACCTCTTCCATCTCCGTCTGCTCTTGCGGAACTTGCCGTTCCGCACACTCGCCCACAAAAGCCGCACGCGGATAAACCTCCGCGCGCTCGCCGTTCCGCCCCAGGCCGCCGAGCAGCGGAGTTCCCGCGGCAGGGGGACCGCTCTGAGCGCTTTGCGCGCCCTGCGCGCTCTGTACGCCTTGAGCGCTGCTGCGAGCGCTCGGGCTTCGACTCCGGCTGTCGCCGCTGGCGGAAGCCGCGACCACGCGGCGCGACATTGCGGGGGGTGAGTTTTCCGCAAGTTGGGTGAACAGAGTCTCTTGCGAAGTATTGACGGATGGAAATTCCATGGTGAACGGCAGTCGATGTAGATTATCACGTCCCGCCAATCGCGCTACTAAGATGATACCTCAGATTGTAGAAACCGCAGATTAGCGCGAACACGGAGCTGGTCACGTCTCTGGCTTGCTTGTATAATCTGCTAGCTCCTGAAATTCCGATCGCTCCTTGCACCGCGCTGCCGATCGAGTTCCCTTAACTCCGCGCCTTCTGCTGCTGCTGCCGCCGCCGCCACCGCTGCTGCTGCTGCTGCTTCTTCTTCTGCTTCTCCAGCTGCTGCCAGCAGTGCTGTTCCTGCTGTTGCTGCTATCGCTGCTGTCGCTGCTATTTATGATAGGAGGGAGAAACAAACTCCACAAGGATTTGTGAAAGCTGTCACGGGGACGATGATCGACGGCGATTCCAATGGTGTCTCTGATTCCATCGACGATCAGTAGTCGCTGCTGTAAGAGTCTGTGGGTGTGACGCGCTGTCACATTGATGCTACTCCAGTGGGCGACACTCTTTTCCTGCTGCGCCCCTGCTGCTGTCGTTGCTGTTTAGGTAGCACACTCGCCCGCGCGCGATCGGCTGGGTTGAACAGAAGGCTACTATATCAGCGTTGACGTATGAAGAAGAACGGAGTTTATCAAGCGCAGGAGCCGAAAATCGAGAGAAAAAGGACGAGTTTTTTGTCTCGAAGACAGGCTTGCGCCAGCTCCTTTTGTCGTCGCGATATGCGACGTCGCGAAACGCGCCAGGTCGATTTAAATGTCGTATCGTCGCGAGCCTTATACGTGAAGATTAGAGCGGTGGGAAGTGCGGTGGGTGACAGCTCACAAACTCCACGCGTGCAGCGGAACAGCTTGTTGGACCTTGGAACACTTTTTTTGGCGCCTCGAAATTTGTCTCGGTGGGGGATGCGGCGGGTGACAGCTCACGAGCTCCACGCGTGCAGAAAAACTAGTTGGACCTTTGAGAGAAGTTGGAACACTGACGGAGCTAGGAACAAGAGCGGAGGGCGATCGAGATTCGAGCGTGCAAAATGCAGCCGAGCAGCTATGGTCTCACGACACGAATTCTGTGCTGCGAACTTGGATATGCTTGAAGGGAATTGGCGGCGCGAAGAATGTGACAGCGAGGCGTTGAATTTCGTAGAGGAAAAACTCAAGCAGTTGGGGGATGAGCTGCTATGCAGCTATTGCTGCCGTGAACTCGTCGTGTTTCGTTTCTGACAGTCTGGGTAGTAGGGAGAACAGCTACTCTTGGAGACGATGTTGCGAGACGTGACAGAAGCGATGAAGATCGGACATTACGGTAGGGACTGGCATTTGTACGGATGGATGAGTTTGCGTTGCTGTTTGCGTGGACGCTACCTGGAGATAAAAGCTGGAGCTGCATAGAAAAGAGGGATTGTGAGTTTGTGCGACTCGAAAATGCGGAAGATCAGATGCGAACCAGCTTGCTTTGCGGAGCGCCAGACGAGAAATCAGCTGGAGAGCCGAATCGCAGATGCACTGCGAGTTAAAACCAGGGTGCACATTCAACGCGGTTCGGCTTGAGATGTTGGGAAGGGGGTTTGGAGAAAAACAGTGATTGGCTCACGAGGGGCGACAAAAAAATGATTCCGCTAGAGCTTCGGGCATTTCGTAGGTGGCGGGAGGGGGTGAAATGGCGGGAGTGGGTGAAACCGAATGGCGGGAGGGATGAAACAGATTGGCGGGAGGGGGGGGAATCGAATTTCGACGGGGAGGGGGAAATGAAATTGCGGGGGCGTGGGGAAACGAAATTGCGGGGGAGGGGGGTAACGAATTTCGACTTGAAGGGGTTGAAAGCACACCTCGTAACCCACTCAGTCAAGGGATAACCTTTGATGCACATTCAGCTGAATGTGCACCCCGGTTTTAACGAAGCTTTTCCGAAGAAACGACGACTTGTGGCGAAATGGAACGATCGGCATGCGAAAGCGATGGTGGGGTAAAGTGGGGGAGGATGGGGTGCAGGGCGGATTGAGGAGAGGAGAGGGGGAAGGGAGTTAGGGGGAAGCGGGGGAGGAGGCATTCGCAAGTGTGGGCTGGCAGAAGCCCCACAGAATCCTCCCCCCTCCGTGCATATCAAGAACTGTAGTGCACACGTTCACTGCTAATTCACGATTGAGAAAGCTAGTGCACGCTAGCTGTCGGGCAGCCTGGCGAGGGAGTGGATGCGTTTGGGCAGTTCTAGGTCAAATTTGCTTTGTGGTTGCATATGCAGAAAACGTGCAACCTGCCCAAAAGTTCCACAGATCTCACGTGGCAACCAGTGAAGTGAAGTGAAGGTTCCCCGAGCGCATGACGTCGGATCAAAGGGGATCAAAGGGAAGGAACAAAGGAAATAAAATCGGTGGAAAATAGAAATTTCCTCTGAAAGCGCGCAGCACCACAGTCACCAGACATGTAACTGGTTTGCGGAGGAAAAGTTCTAAAATTCCTTTCAAAATTCACACTAGCCGTCGAGATCTTTATCCTTTTAGTGGGTCTGGATAAACGATTTCACGACTTCGAAAAACAGGGTGTATCAGAGGGTGTACTTGAAAAAATCTCCATTTTGTGCAGTAGCAACGCACTGGTGCAGTATATAATCAACACAGTGGGCAAATCCGAAAAACGCCAAATCCACCAATCAACAAGTACCGCGTATACACTGGGCACACGACGCGGCAGCTTGAATTTTGACGATTCGCGACTTCTTTTGGATTCGCCATGTGCTGCTGAGTGCGCTGTTTGATGTGAAACGAACATTTTGATGTGAAAGCTTCTCCACTTGGGTGTTAGGCTCCATTATCTTAAGTGATTTAATCGTGATGGCACCATACAGACCAATCGTTCCACCATCACTCAGGATGATCTACTCGTGCTACGAAGTACGTAGGCCTTTTAAAAGCTGGTAAATGATTCTTTTTAAGGCCACATAATGTAAAGTCCTAAAAAACAGTGGGCTAATATGGAAAACAAACTCTATACGATTCAAGGCTGGCAAATGAAGAACGTGGGCCCCACGTGGGGGGTTTTGCTCAATCCATCACCGCGTTCAATCCACACATTGTTCGTATCTGGCCATGAGCTAAGCAAAACAAACGCCCCCATGATCTGGACTCGTCGTTTTCGAGACACTGGACGTCTGACGTGTCCCTAGTGTGAGTGCGAAGCACGTAACAACGTTTCGGCGATGAAATCTGGCAGAGTGCAGCAGTAGCGAATCCCCAAACGCGGAAACGATTTGGAGTCCAGTTTTGCCCCGTTGAACCGTATACACCTGATGCCCGTTTGAGTCCCCCCCTACTTGGGCTGTGCTCTGGGCTTATAAACGTTTTAGAGATTTCGCCCAGTTCGTTTCATTTCGCCAGGGTGTTGAGGTGCTTCTAAAAAACACAGGTTGTAACTCGTTGGTTTTTTCCAAAACAGAGCTGGTGGGCCTGTGTTGTTGTTAGTTCAGGGTTTAGGGTTTATGCTTGTTTCTGGCCAGGAAACAAGAACAAACCGGGTCAGCATGGTTTGTTTTGCGCCTGAGATTCATACTTCGGCGTTTTCTCTCCCAAATGCAAGTTGATCCGCGTGCCTATACCGTGGGTGCAACTGACTGGGAAAAAAAACACGGGTGCAGAGTTTCTGAAATGGGCAAGGCAAATTCGCGCGCAGTGGTTGGGCATCATGTGTATGAACTTGTGCGGGCGGGTGGCAGGCAGCTGTGGGGAATGAGGAGGGGAATAGGGCACCTCAGTACACTCCTGGACGTGGCAGAGTAATAGGCGGACTTAAAGGGTGAAGGTAGAGATGAAATACCTAAGGGAGATATTTCTTACACTAGAGGGAAAACAAACTTTCCTCATGATGTGACGGTTCCGCATTGAGCTCATATTTAAACATATTTCTTGATTACTCTAGCAAACTCGTCATTCGGCATGCCTGTCACACCAATTACGATATGTATATCCTTAAACAGGTACCACCCGGCCAAGATCTTGATTCAGATGTCCAGCAGGAGGGGAGGTCCCAAGAAAACAGGGAGAGGATAACACACGCCAGAATTTAACGGAAATCAAAGGCCTCGGGAGGTGCAGGCTCGTCATCCTCTTCATCATCGTCAGCAGGTGGCGGCGGGGGGGGGGGGGGCACCCCCCCCTCTCCCCCTCCCCCCTGCCCCTCCTCCCCCTCCGCTCCTCCTAAACGCTCCCACAGGAGCAGCAGCAGCAGCTGGGGCAGCAGCAGCGGCAGTCCGGGCAGCACCGGAATTCCCGGCCGCAGCAGCATTCGGCCCGTCGGTGAGCGCGAATTCTTCGGGCTGCCCGGGCTGGCAATCCTTGAGGAGCAAAAACCCGGAGGTCGGCTTCCTGATTGGTGCATAGCGGCAGGTGTCCGGGAACTTGATGTATTTTTCTTGGGCGGGCAGCACTCGGGCAGGATTGTGAAGGATTTCAGACGTTGGCTCAGCCGGTTTCTTGGCTTCAGCAGCAGCACTGGGAGTGGTCTCGGTCCCCTCAACCTGCAAAGATGGAAGGTAGGAATTGGAGGTATGACGGGAGAGGGGTCGGAGAGAGGGTGGGCGAGAGGAGTGGAGAGGGGTGAAGAAGGGTGGAACAGGTTAGAAATTGGTGGAAACCAGACAGCGAAACGGGTTGCGCATCACTACTTGGTCAAATAAAAGCCTCGATATTACGGGCTATGCATCGAGATATAGAGTGTGAGGGCGAGGAAAGCAAGAGCACGAATGCATGCAAGCGAAAGAAAGCCACGAGCGGGCGGGGAAGGGGGGGTGGGAGTGGCGGGTGGAACGGGTAACATATGTACAAGAACAGTTAGAAATCGTGGGGAAATGTGGAAGGGCATGTGCAGATGATAAAATCTCACCTCCATAGCATCTCCTTCCTTCTTCTCCTCTCCCTTCTTCCCTCCATCCTCCTCTCCCCCCTTCACCCCATCCATCGCCCCACCCTCCCCAGCCTTCCCCTCTCCCCCATCCTTCTTCTCCTCCTCCTTCTCCTTCTTCTCCTCCTTCTCCTTTGCCCTCCCCTTCGCCCTCGCAGCAGTCGACAGCACCGCAACCGGAGCCTTCACGGCAGTGCTGCTTCTCGCCACAACAGCGGGCGGCGGGTACGCAAACAACCCCGGGCGGCACTCCGAAACGAAATCAAATTTCGGCGCTTTGAGATCCCCCTGAAGCCCGACGAGCGCCGTTGCAGAGAAGGAGAGTGAGAGGAAGTGCAGCAGCGGGAACCAGTACCAGTACTGCGTGAAAAGAGCCATGCCGATGACGGCAGTTACACGGTCGTAGCCCGAGCGGGAGCGGAGCGAGATGGTGACGTTGCGGCCTCCGGCGTCGAGGATACCAGAAGCGAGGATGGCTCCCATCTTGCACATGGTGTCCTCATGCTTGTCGTGAATGGCCTTCTCAAGTTGGCGCCTGAAGAGCACAGGGGGTGACAGTGTATGGTAATGGGGGACAGCGGGGAAGTGAGTGGGAGACACAGAATGGCGCCCATCTTGCACATGGTGTCCCCGTGCTTGTCGTGAATGGCCTTTTCAAGCTGACGCCTGGGAGGAGACAGATGGGGAAGACGGGGGTAACAGCGCATGGAGCGGGGAACAGCGGGGAAGTGAGTGGGGGACAGCGAGAATGGCGCCCATCTTGCACATGGTGTCCTCGTGCTTGTCGTGAATGGCCTTCGCGAGCTGACGCCTGGAAGGGGAGGAGGTAGAAGGCGAGAGGGACAGGGAATGATGAAGGGAGGGAGTCATAAACAGGTCACCCCCTCTCTCTAGAAAGCTCACCCCTCAGCTGAAGGTCCACCCCTCACCTGAAGGTCACGACTCGGGGCTTTCGCTCCTGAGAGCACTGCATAAGCACCATGGCCGTGGCCACGAAGTCCACCCCGTCTGATGTGAGCGGCTCCAGCAGGTCGAGTGCGCTCCTCTGCTCTGCTCTTCAGAGAAAAGTGAGGCAGAGCCACACACTGGGAAGGAGCGCGCTGGGAGTAAAGGCTGGGAAAGATGAGGCTCCGGGCTCACCTGAAGGGCACGACGCGGGGCTGTCGCTCCTGGGAGCACTGCATGAGAACCATCGCCGTAGCCATCAGCGCCCCCTGCCGCACAAAGTCCACCCCGTCCGATGTGAGCGGCTCCAGCAGGTCCAGGGCGCTCCGCTGGGCCGTGCCGGCGCATGCAATGCCGACCGCCATGGCTGCCCCGTAGCGCACGTGGGGATTGAAGGACTCCGCGAGTAAAGAGACCATTCGGGGGACCTGCAAAGCAAGTGGTGGAGGGCGGTGCAAAGGAGAGAGAGGGGTTGAAAATGGTACAACACAGGTCAAACGGGGTGCGGGAGTGGCTCCAGCAGGTCGAGGGCGCTGCGCTGCGCCGTGCCGGCGCATGCAATGCCGACTGCCATGGCTGCCCCGTAGCGCACGTGGGGGTTGAAGGACTCGGCTAGGAGAGAGACCATTCGGGGGACCTGAGAAGGAGGGAGAGAGGTGGAGCGCGGTACAAGGGTTAGGATGAGCCGTGCCGGCGCAGGCTATGCCGACCGCCATGGCTGCCCCGTAGCGCACGTGGGGGTTGAATGACTCGGCTAGGAGAGACCATGCAAGGGGCCTACAAAGAAATAAGGAGAGAGAGGGGTGGAAAGCGGTACAAGAGTCAAACGGGGTGACCGGCGCATGCGATGCCGGCTGCCATGGCTGCCCCGTAGCGCACGTGGGGGTTGAAGGACTCGGCTAGGAGAGAGACCATTCGGGGGACCTGAGAAGGAGGGAGAGAGGTGGAGCGCGGTACAAGGGTTAGGATGAGCCGTGCCGGCGCAGGCTATGCCGACCGCCATGGCTGCCCCGTAGCGCACGTGGGGGTTGAATGACTCGGCTAGGAGAGACCATGCAAGGGGCCTACAAAGAAAGAAGGAGAGAGAGGGGTGGAAAGCGGTACAAGAGTCAAACGGGGTGACCGGCGCATGCGATGCCGGCTGCCATGGCTGCCCCGTAGCGCACGTGGGGGTTGAAGGACTCGGCTAGGAGGGACACCATGCGGGGGACCTGCAAGGGGGGGAGGGAGAGCGGCAAAGAGTGGTGTAAGGGGAGAGGGAGTGGTGAGGCACGGTACACAGGAAGAGTGAGCGGTGCAGGGTGATGCAAGGGCAGAGTGAGGAAGAGGCTCCAGCAGGTCCAGCGCGCTTCGCTGCGCCGTGCCGGTGCAGGCTATGCCGACTGCCATGGCTGCCGCGTAGCGTAGCACAGCGCAGCATAGCAGAGAGAGTGGGAGGGACAGAATATAGCGTGCTTCACGCACTGCTTCTCTCTCACCTGATCCGGCTCCGCACAGAGAACAAAGCCCAGGCACAGCACGGCGGCGCGCCTGACGTCATCGCTGACGTCACTGACGGCAAAGTGCAGAAGCTGCCGAATGGCGCCGTTGTTGGCGGTGCCGCGGTAGGCCATGGCGATGGCGTACATGCCGCCGTAGCGCAGGATCGGGTCGGCGTCCGTCGTCATTTGCTGGATGAGAATATCGGCCTCTTCCTCCCGGCCGTAAACGACCAGGGAAATCCCCACCGCCAGGCCTCTGGTGGATTCTCAGCAGAAAAATCCGGAGGAAGGGGAGCAGATAGGAGAAAGGGAGGGGAAGGTTGAGGAAGGAAAGCTGGCGAATGGCGCCGTTGTTGGCGGTGCACAGTTTTGTGGGCATAAGCCAGCATCTCCGCTGCTACCTGCGTGTGTGTATCGTTCTCCTGTGATTGCGTATGTGCACCCTCACAACCATTCCCCCACCTGATAATCATTTCATGCTGCGTGTCATGGGCATAAGCCAGCATCTCTGCCACCCGCTCGCTGTGTGTGTGTGTGTGTGTGTGTGTGTGTGTGTGTGTGTTTGTGTGTGTGTGTTTGGTGCGGATAGTCCCCTAACCCCCTAGTCAACCTGTCCCCACCTGATGATCTTCTCGTGCTGCGTGTCATGGGCATAAGCCAGCATCTCCGCCCGCCGCTACTGGATGAAAGAGAACTGCCCACCGTATGTGCACCCTCACAACCATCCCCCCACCTGATGATCTTCTCGTGCTGAGTGTCATGGGCATAAGCCAGCATCTCCGCCGCCACAACTGGATGAAAAGAGTACCGGACACAGTGTCTGTGTGTGCCTGTATGCTTATCCCCTAACCCCCTAGTCACCCTGCCCTCACCTGATGATCTTCTCATGCTGCGTGTCATGGGCATAAGCCAGCATCTCATACATGTGTGCGAGAATCATTATACATGCGACCTCACAACCACCCCCCCACCTGATAATCTTCTCGTGCTGCGTGTCATGGGCATAAGCCAGCATCTCATACATGTGTGCGAGAATCATTATACATGTGACCTCACAACCACCCCCCCACCTAATGATCTTGTCGTGCTGCGTGTCATGGGCATAAGCCAGCATCTCATACATGTGTGCGAGAATCATTATACATGTGACCTCACAACCACCCCCCCACCTGATGATCTTGTCGTGCTGCGTGTCATGGGCATAAGCCAGCATCTCATACATGTGTGCAAGTATCACTATACATGTGACCTCACAACCACCCCCCTACCTGATAATCTTCTCGTGCTGCGTGTCATGGGCATAAGCCAGCATCTCCGCTGCCCGCTCGCTCGCCGACCCAACTAGCAGCAGCCCCATGGCAATCCCTGCTGCCTCGCCCGCAACAGCGCTGTCAGTGTAGAGCACGCTCTTCACGTCCTCATACACCTCCTCGTCGCCGGTGCCCATCGCCGCCAGACCCACGCCCAGGCACGCGCCATGCTGGATTGTCTGCAGGGTTCAGGGTTTAAGGGGCGGTTAGGGGTTGCGGGGTGGGGGATAAGGGGGTGGGTGCGGGGTGGGGGATAAGGGGGTGGGTGCGGGGTGGGGTGGCACGGCGCTGTCAGTGTAGAGCATGCTCCTCACGTCCTCATACACCTCCTTGTCGCCCGTGCCCATCGCCGCCAGACCCACTCCCAGGCATGCGCCATGCTGGATCGTCTGCTCAGGGTTTTGGGATTAAGTGTTCATGTATTCTAAGGGGTTGAAGGGTAATGTGGCCAAAATTAGTTTGCAGTTCGGGAATGCTTGACAGACCTGCTGCACTCATCTACTTCATTGAAACCCGAAACCTTTGGTCCCTGCCCCTGAGCGCACCTTGTTGCTGGTGTTGTGGAGAGCTCTCCAGCAGGAATCCCTTTTGATACTTAAACCCTGAACCTCTCACCCCGTGTCCCCCGCCCTACACACACCTCGTTGCTGGTGTTGCGGAGGCTCTCGAGCAGGAACCCCTTGATGCTCTCCCCGTGGTTAGCATGAATGAGCCCCAGAGCGTACAGCGCCCCGCCCTCCGAATACGCACTCCCACTCAGGCCCCCTGCTCCCCCGCCTGCTGCCCTCCCTGCTGCCCTGCCCCACCTGTTGTCCCACCTGCTTCCCTACCTGCTGCCCCTAGCCTCTGCCGCCCCCAAACGTTCCCCTAAAACCGAAACCCTAAACCCCGCCCTACCTCATTGCTGGTGTTGCGGAGGCTCTCGAGCAGGAACCCCTTGATGCTCTCCCCGTGGTTAGCATGAATGAGCCCCAGAGCGTACAGCGCCCCGCCCTCCGAATACGCACTCCCACTCAGCCCGCCCGCTGCCCCTGCGCTGCCCCCAGCCCCGTGGGGCAGGTAGGGCGCCATGAGGGAGCGCCCCTGCTGCAGGTGGCCCCTGTGAATCACCCCCAGGCCGGCTGTAGCACTCAGCTTCGCCCAGTTGGTCGCCCGGCTCAACCAGTCCTGCATTGAAAGAGAGGGATGGGAGGATTAGATCGGAATAAGGGGTAGAGATGAGGGACATGAGCAAGCGCCCCTGCTGCGAGCGCCCCTGCTTGCAGGTGCCCCCTGTGGATCACCCCCAGGCCGGCTGTGGCACTCAGCTTCGCCCAGTTGGTCGCTCGGCTCAGCCAGTCCTGAACAGAGGGAGTGGGGTAGGAGGTTGAGATCGGGATAGGGGGTTGGTATGAGACACATACATGAGGGAGCGCCCCTGCTGCAGGTGCCCCCTGTGATGAATCATCCCCAGCCCGGCTGTAGCGCTTAGCTTCGCATGCATGAGCATGAGTGCATGCATGAGCATGAGTGCATGCATGAGCAAGAGTGCATGCATGAGCATAAGTGCATGCATGAGCAAGAGTGCATGCATGAGCATAAGTGCATGCATGAGCAAGAGTGCATGCATGAGCATAAGTGCATGCATGATCCTCAGCGCACTTACCAGGTTGTCTCTGAGGAAAGTGTCGACTGTCATGCCCGCATGGATGAATGCGTTGGCTACAGGGAGAGGCAGGCATGCATGATTATACGCATGCTCACCAGGTTGTCTCTGAGGAAGGTGTCAACTGTCGTGCCAGCGTGCATGAACGCGTTGGCTACGATGGTGGCGCTGTGGCACACGCTGTTGCGCGTCTCCACCACCTGCTTGATCGCCTTCAGCACTCCCAGGTCCGCCCTGCAAGGTAAGACGATAGAAAGAGAAACAAAGGGTGTTAAGTGGTATGGCGAATGTTGCTACACCGCGATGGCAGTGCTGTGCTGTGGCACACGCTGTTCCTCGACTCCACCATCTGCTTGATCGCCTTCAGCACTCCCAGGTCCGCCCTGCAGGTAACACAAACACAGAGAGCATGACTGGCCACTCACTTGTTGTGGCTGTACAGGCAAGAACTGCAGGGTGAGGCCGATCGGTGCAATGCTGGCACGCAACCTAAGCAACACAAGCACTAACAATTTTATACAACAACAAAGCAGTACTCACTTGTTGTGGCTATACAGGAACTGCAGGGTGAGGCCGATCGGAGTCTCCCCCGTCAGAATCCCCTTCAGCTTCGCCAGTCGCTCTGCATACACCACCTCCTCGCTCGGCGCAGCCTCGGCAGCTGCCTCGCCCTCCCCCGAACCTGCAGCTTCGGCCGAACCAGAACCAGCTGCCTCGGTAGTGTCCATGGTGCTTGTCCCGTCAACCTCGGCAGCAGGTTTGGCTGCCCCATCTTCAGCAGCTGCTGTAGCCGTATCTGTCGCCTCTCCGCCCTCTGCCTTTGCTGCTCCTTCTCCCTCCTTCCCTTCCTCCGTCTCCATTGCTGCAGCCGCATCGGTTGCACCAGCAGCACTGCCTCCCTCAGCTGCTGCGGCGCCTGTTACAGCATCACCAGCAGCAGCCACCTCAGCACCCGCATCAGGGGCAGCAGCAGCAGAAGCACCATCCGCCTCCGGAGCAGCAGCAGCAACAGCGGCATCGGCATCAGCAGAAGCCGGAACAGCCGGGGCAGGCGCAAGCGGGGGCGGCGGGTCAGGCAGAGCATCCCTCACAGACAGCAGGAACTGCTGAAACTCGTTCTCAAACAGGTCAAAGGCGACCTGGTACGCTAATAAAGCGTCCGACTCGTTCTGCCCCTTGATGAGTCGGTCCAGTGTCGCCGCCACCCCTGCTGCGTCGCTGAGGAACATGAGCATCTGGCATATGCTGCCGTAGTCGGGGGTCTCTGCCTGCTGATATAGACGCACCAATGTTGACAAAACCTGGGGGAATGAACAACGGAGAGGGGCAAGGGGTAAGGAGAGGAGGGAGTCGCTGAGGAACATGAGCATCTGGCATATGCTGCCGTAGTCGGGGGTCTCTGCTTGCTGGTGCAGCCGCACCAGTGTGGACAGCACCTGGGGGGGCGCGGGGAAAGAGGGGGGGGGCGCCAAGGAAGGAGAGGGCAAGGGGGAAGGGCAAGGGGAAAGGGCAAAAGGAGCCACGGAGGAAGAGAGCATCTGACACGTGGCTTCTGACACGTGCGCAGCCTTGTATGAGCACTCTGCCTGCTGGTAAAACACATCAGCAAGTGATTGAGATGAGAACACCAAGGCATACAGGTGGCAGGATGAAGAGAGGGCGCAGGGAGGGTGATGAGAGGGCGCAGGGAGGGTGAAGAGAGGGCGAGGGAGAGGGTGATGAGAGGGCGAGGGAGAGGGTGAAGAGAGGGCGAGGGAGAGGGTGAAGAGAGGGCGAGGGAGAGGGTGATGAGAGGGTGAAGGAGAGCAAGAGAAGGCGAGGGTCGGGTGCAGTACCTGCTGCCGGAATTGTCGGCGGTTGACAAGGGAATGAGAGACCTGCACGGGAGGTAAGCAACAGCAAGGCAGGCAGGAAACACAGCAGCAAACAGGGGGGTGAGGGATGAAATGAAAAGCAAGTGCCAAGTGTGCCTGTGTGCGGGGAAAGGGGACGGACAGGATGGAAGTTCATTTCAAAGTTGGCAAACGAGCAATATTTTTTCAGAAGCATATGTGAATACGTTGAGAAGCAGGCGCGGTGAACACTGAGCAGCAGGTGCGGGTTAATGAGTGGGTGAGTAAACATCAGCCTACCTGCAGGCAGTAGGCGAGCAGCGAGCGCGAGTTGCCACTCCTGGCGACAGCCGCCTCCAGCTTGTCAAGTCGGCGGCACTCCAGCGAGCAGGAAAGTCAACAGAAGTCAACTCACCTGCAGGCAGTAGGCGAGCAGGGAGCGAGAGTTGCCACTCCTGGCGACGGCAGCCTCGAGCTTGTCAAGGCGGGGGCACTCCAGCGAGCAGGAAAGTCAATCAAAGTCAACGGAAGTCAACCCACCTGCAGGCAGTATGCGAGCAGCGAGCGCGAGTTGCCACGCCTGGCAACGGCAGGCTCCAGCTTGTAAACAAACTCCGCTTTAGTGAGACCACGACCCAAAAAGGTAGTGCATTTTTGGCTGAGCTCGCCCCTACGGATAAGTGAGAACTGCCTACCTGCAGGCAATAGGCGAGCAGGGAGCGAGAGTTGCCACTCCTGGCAACGGCAGCCTCGAGCTTGTCAAGGCAGCGGCACTCCAGCGCGCAGGGAAGTCAACAGAAGTCAACGGAAGTCAAAAGAAATCAACCCACCTGCAGGCAGTAGGCGAGCAGCGAGCGCGAGTTGCCACTCCTGGCGACGGCAGCCTCGAGCTTGTCAAGGCGGCGGCACTCCAGCGCACAGAGAAGTCAACAGAAGTCAACGGAGGTCAACCTACCTGGAGGCAGTAGGCGAGCAGGGAGCAAGAGTTGCCACTCCTGGCAACGGCAGCCTCGAGCTTGTCAAGGCGGCGGCACTCCAGCGCCACTCCGATGGCCTGCTGGAACTGACGCTCCTCAATGCAGCTGGAATGAGGGTAGAGAGGCAAGGGGAGAGGTGAGAGGGGTGGGGAAGGTGGCGAATAAAGAGGAGTGAAAACGGTCACTGACTGCAGGTCAGTTATCCTCTCGCACATGCATGCAGCAAGGGCAGCAAGAGCAGCACTCACTTGTCGAGCATCCTCTCTACGATGGCCACGAGGCGCGGGTCAAGAGGAGTGATAACGGTCACACACACCAGGTCAGCCTTCCGCTTGCACATGCATGTGAATCATCACAACAACAAGAGCACCGCTCACTTGTCCAGCATCCTCTCTACGATGGCCACGAGGCGCGGGTCAAGAGGATAGTCGGCGTCGGGGTCATGGGAATCCACACAGCAGGTTGGCCCTCCTCTCGCACATGCACGTTAATCATCCCAGCAGCACAAGCACTCACTTGTCCAGCATCCTCTCTACGATGGCCACGAGGCGCGGGTCAAGCGGATAGTCGGCGTCGGGGTCATGGGAATCCACACAGCAGGTTGGCCCTCCTCTCGCACATGCACGTTAATCATCCCAGCAGCACAAGCACTCACTTGTCCAGCATCCTCTCTACGATGGCCACGAGGCGCGGGTCAAGAGGATAGTCGGCGTCGGGGTCATGGGAATCCACACAGCAGGTTGGCCCTCCTCTCGCACATGCACGTTAATCATCCCAGCAGCACAAGCACTCACTTGTCCAGCATCCTCTCTACAATGGCCACGAGGCGCGGGTCAAGCGGATAGTCGGCGTCGGGGTCATGGGAATCCACACAGCAGGTTGGCCCTCCTCTCGCACATGCACGTTAATCATCCCAGCAGCACAAGCACTCACTTGTCCAGCATCCTCTCTACGATGGCCACGAGGCGCGGGTCAAGAGGATAGTCGGCGTCGGGGTCATGGGAATCCACACAGCAGGTTGGCCCTCCTCTCGCACATGCACGTTAATCATCCCAGCAGCACAAGCACTCACTTGTCCAGCATCCTCTCTACGATGGCCACGAGGCGCGGGTCAAGCGGATAGTCGGCGTCGGGGTCATGGGAATCCACACAGCAGGTTGGCCCTCCTCTCGCACATGCACGTTAATCATCCCAGCAGCACAAGCACTCACTTGTCCAGCATCCTCTCTACGATGGCCACGAGGCGCGGGTCAAGAGGATAGTCGGCGTCGGGGTCATGGGAATCCACACAGCAGGTTGGCCCTCCTCTCGCACATGCACGTTAATCATCCCAGCAGCACAAGCACTCACTTGTCCAGCATCCTCTCTACAATGGCCACGAGGCGCGGGTCAAGCGGATAGTCGGCGTCGGGGTCATGGGAATCCACACAGCAGGTTGGCCCTCCTCTCGCACATGCACGTTAATCATCCCAGCAGCACAAGCACTCACTTGTCCAGCATCCTCTCTACGATGGCCACGAGGCGCGGGTCAAGAGGATAGTCGGCGTCGGGGTCATGGGAATCCACACAGCAGGTTGGCCCTCCTCTCGCACATGCACGTTAATCATCCCAGCAGCACAAGCACTCACTTGTCCAGCATCCTCTCTACGATGGCCACGAGGCGCGGGTCAAGCGGATAGTCGGCGTCGGGGTCATGGGAATCCACACAGCAGGTTGGCCCTCCTCTCGCACATGCACGTTAATCATCCCAGCAGCACAAGCACTCACTTGTCCAGCATCCTCTCTACGATGGCCACGAGGCGCGGGTCAAGCGGATAGTCGGCGTCGGGGTCATGGGAATCCACACAGCAGGTTGGCCCTCCTCTCGCACATGCACGTTAATCATCCCAGCAGCACAAGCACTCACTTGTCCAGCATCCTCTCTACGATGGCCACGAGGCGCGGGTCAAGCGGATAGTCGGCGTCGGGGTCATGGGAATCCACACAGCAGGTTGCCCCTCCTCTCGCACATGCACGTTAATCATCCCAGCAGCACAAGCACTCACTTGTCCAGCATCCTCTCTACGATGGCCACGAGGCGCGGGTCAAGAGGATAGTCGGCGTCAGGGTCATGGGAGTCGGCGCGCTTGACACTGAGATCCATGTACTCGTCAATGCACTTGGCTGCAGGGGGCATGGGGCATGGGGCATAGGGCATGGGGAGACCCAAGGATAACACATGGAGCATTGGGTCGAGTGGATAGTCGGCGTCGGGGTCATGAGAGTCGGCGCGCTTGACGCTCAAATCCATGTACTTGTCAATGCACTTTGCTGTAAGGGGCACAGCGAAACAAAATAGTAGCGGGGAATGATCCACAGGGCAATGAGGGACACAGGAATAGCACAGGGGGCGAATGGTGCACATTGGGTCATGGGATTCGGTGCTCTTGACACTCAAGTCCATGTACTCGTCAATGCACTTGGCTGTAAGTGGCATGGGACACAGACACACCCGAGACGGGGAAGTGATTAACAGGACACTGAGACCAAGGATAGTCGGCGCCGGGGTCAAGGGAGTGCATGACATTCTGAAACTAAGATCCATGTACTTGTCAATGCACCCATGTACCCATGTACCCATGTACCCACGCACCCATGCGCCCGTTCGCCCATGCACCCACGCACGCACCAATGAGCGTCTGCACGTATTCCGAGTCCTCCGAGACGTCAAAGAGGGACCCCGCGCCAAGCGCGTACGTGAGCGAGTCGGTGAGCTCGCCCAGATAGTAAAACACCTGCACAGGTGAACCCATGCACGCATACGAGAGGAAAAGGTTGAAGTTCGTTTGCACTGCGTTGAGCACAAATATGGGAGCACTAGAGAGTCGGTGAGCTCGCCCAGATAGTAGAACACCTGCATACGCGCATGCACGCGCGGGACAGAAGGAATGTTGTCAGTTGATTCAGTCAGTCTTGATTCAGTCAGAGGGAGCACTCAAGAGTGGGTGGGCTGGCCCAGATCGTAGAACGGACCGACAGAAACACCAGCATTTGTGCAAGGACAAGGGGGTAGGTAATAAAGAGTCAAGCGAATTACTGAGGAGGGACACAGTAAAGACCATGCTATACGATGCGTCAGAGAGAAATAGTTCTGAGAAGCAACTGATCCATACCGTGAACCTGAATGGGCGAAAGCACCTGAAGAAGGCCAGACAATAATTACCTTGGAGGCCAGAAGAGCCGCCAGCTCGCGATGGTCGAACGTCTCATCCTCGTACAAGCTCTCACTGAACAGATTCAACCGAGAATAAAGACGGGGAAAATAACGTAACAGACATGCTTACTCGTCTTCGAATGTACAAGCACAACGGATAGAGGCACGTAACGCACTGGTTACACTGTTGAAGGGCGACGAGGTTAGGCGTGGAGTAAGATGTGCGAGTAACCACATCCACGATCTACAAATCTACAAACTTAGTCAATATACGAAGTGAGCATTTCGCAAAGCGACTGAGCGGCCAGAATGGTTTGTCTGAGACTCCTGAACTACCAACGACTCTTGTCTGACAACTTTGTTTGAGTCCTGACAAATTCCGTCTACCCAATATGACATCTGTCCACCTGCACCAGATTATCGAACCGACTAAATACCCAGAATGATACTAAAGTCGACCTAATGGCACGCAACAACCTATCCAATTCCGTGTGATGGAATTCAACATGTCATGGAGGCACCATAAACCGAAATTCGCCAAGTGAGGTCCACTAGCTTCCCGATCCATATAGACCAAACCAGCGAGGGAGAGGTTTTCCGACCTCCGTCTCATAATCACTAGGAAAGTCGAATTCTCGTAAAAGTAAGCTGTCCATATAAGAAAATTCACAAACATCTCTGACATAAGGATCTCACAGGCTGGAAACTGATTGAATACTACTCGCTTCGTCCTTAATCATAACGAATCTTCACGATTATGTAGGCCAGCCTACCACGAACGAAGAAAAATGGGTATGACCAAAAGCGACACGGCACAGCTGAAGCTCGAGGTCAGGCCACCCGCGATCTCGATCTGATCGGCTAGCGTTTTCGCATACGCCTTGTCACGGTCGACTGATTTAATCCCCTCAAAGGCCAAATTCTCGTACATCCACCGTCGCGGTCGTGTGGCGTGCGAAACCTAGTTGCTAGAGTGTCGACACGCTTATAATCCCAAGCTGAAACACCGGAATGTCAGACTATCAAGCCAATATTTCACGCTACGAAGACGATCGATTGGTCGCAGCTGGCGTCTAAATCGGGGATTTACATTATAGATCTATAATCTATAATCGTCCTGCAATTACCTATGCTAAAATCGCAGGCTAAAGCTCAAACTCCTAACGAGAGACTGGCTACAGAAGCAGATTAGTAAGAACGCGCGGGCTTCAAGGTATCGAGGAGATTAACTACGTCCTTACATGGTGGAGATGTTCGCGGAGATCTCGGCCCAGAACTGGCCGACGAGCAGATTCAGATTCTTAAGAGCGTACACGCGGAGAGCCGGTTCTTCCTCGTCGAGCATGGCCAGCAGGCCGCTCGCACTGGTAATGACCGTCATGGCTGCGACTAGAACCGCGAATCGGCTCCGATCGGCGATTTGACAATCCTGGTTCTTGGTTCTAGTCTGGATCGGGAATTAGAGCCGTTAGAGGCTCCGTACAGCCGAATCTCGGAATGAACTGTTCTCAGCTGCCTGCTTGCTCTAATTCAAGCAGGATTCGCGATGTGTCAGCGAACTGGCGAAACAGCAGGAACTGTTCGATGTTGCTGTTTCGGTGGTGTTACAAGAGACAATGTGATATTTCACTAAATATAGAATGAAGCACAACTGCTATCGATATAGTGGCGAGTGCTTCTACAGTAAGAAAATTCCACCGTGAAATGGGCTTGTGATTCGTGATAGTGTCAGCAAATCAACAACAGCTCGTGACCAGCTTCGAACATTGGCGGGTTTAGGGAACTAATGCGTTGCACTGCTTCCAGACTACCACGAAAAAACATTGCACCTGACCAAACCATACAAAGCCGATTTTACCTTAACAAATGAAACTCTCGCGTTTTGAACTTGCTTCAGCTATGGGTAGGAGAATTTGATCTCACTTCAGCCAGGCTGTAACATATCCAATGAAACGGTACTTGGTGTGATGTTCTACCATCCTAGTTGGAGGATGTGCAACCAGGATATGACTCACAATTTCAAACATCAGCAACCTGCATTCTTCAATTCTGGTGTCTACAATGACAATGCACCAAGAGTAGACCACCTGCGTAGGGTATTGAACAAACACATCTGGTACAGTTCAAAATTGGTTCTTCAGTTGTCGACGAAACTTACCGTATTTGCCACTGCACGTTACTTCTGAAAAGGATTCGGTGCTGTCGATGACCCTGAAGGCTTTCCGAAAGTTGCCGTACTGCCAGTAGGGTTTGCAAAGTTAAATGGCGGAGGGGAGGGGAAGGGAGATGGCTGTCCAGCAGCAGCAGAAGCAGCAGCAGCAGCAGCTGCAGAGGAGCTGTCTGGGCCCTTATGGGAGAAAGGACTGGAGGGAGTTGCAGATGCGAAAGAGAAAGCTGGCGCTGATGACCCGAATGCTGGCGCTGACGATCCGAACACTGGCGCTGATGTCGCAAATGCTGGCGCTGACGATCCAAATGCTGGCGCTGACGATGCAAATATGCTTGATGCTGATGGCTGGCTTGGTGCAATAGCAGCTTGGCTTGAAGGTGCTCCTGTTGCTGCCGCTGCTTTCACCTCAGGAAAGGGCCTGTAAGCAGAACCAGAAAAAAGAGACAATACAGTGTTGAGGCGAGAGAAGAGGAAGTGAAGGAATAGAGAGCAGCTATTGGTAGTTATAGCGTGAAGGGCGACCAACACCCACTGATATCTCAGCTCTTGGCAGCAGCAGCAGCCTTCAATAAGCTTCCAGGATAACACTTTCATCCCATGTGCTCGCCTGAACACACCAACCGAGTCCTTGAAAACTGCAGCAGGCTCGCTGTTGCTGCCCTATGGAACATCACCATAGCACGCAGGGTCTGGTAACCGGGTAACCCTGCATAGTGCTCACCTGAACACACCAACCGAGTCCTTGAAAGCTGCAGCAGGCTCGTTGCTGCTCCCGCTGTTGGTGCTGCTGACAGTGGAATGACTCACGCCCTTGGGCTCACCGAATGGTCTGGTAACCAGGTAACACTGAAGCGCTCACCTGAACACACCAACCGAGTCCTTGAAAGCTGCAGCAGGCTCGTTGCCGGTGGTGGTGCTGGTGGTGAAATGACCCACGCCCTTGGGCTTACCAAACGAAGGCACCCCACCTCCCCCGAACAAAGCGCTTCCTCCTGATTGGCTACCCCCTCCGAACAAACTGCTTCCCGAACCAAACAACGGGGCTGCCGAACCAGCAGGACCGGCAGCAGCAGCAGTAGCTGAAGCTGTTGCAGCAGCAGAAGAACCACCACCAGCAGCAGCAGCACTCGGGCCCTTATCACCACCAGCACCACTCAATCCTCCCTCTGTCCCACCCCTGGCATTCTCCTGTGACTGTGTGGTATCAGGCTCTGATCCGTCTTGAGAAACCCGCATGCCAAACAGGGGGTTCTGATGCAACACCTGCGCATTTCCCAGGGGTACTGGCGCTGTTGCCCCTCTTGCTAAGGGCACTGGACTGGTGCCTACGGGTCCTTGCTGCCCAAACTGCCCAGATCCAAAAAGTTTTCGCTGAAGCGGGAGCTCTGATTGGCTGGGAGCAGTGGGAGCAGCTGTAGCAGTTGAAGTGAAAGGCGGAGGGGAGGCAGGAGCTGCTGGAAAGGAGAAGAGTGACAGTGGCTGCTGCTGCTGCTGCTGCTGCTGCTGATGTTGCTGCTGTTGAGATTTGCTAGAGGATTTCGGGAACGAGAGGGGAGAACCTGAGAGGGATGCTGCACCCGCCCCACCACTAAGTATCGGAGAGCCGAAGTGGGGGGCGGGAGCAGCTTTGGGAGAGGAGGCCTTAGCTGAAGGCGACTGAACTGGCTGCATGGGCTTGCGTGGCAGGGCTGCAGCGGAAGGAACTTTGGTGATTGCTTTTGGTTGACTTCTGGCGTCTGGCTTGACTAGTCCTGTTCTGGCTGGGATGGCTGTGGTGGTTGTGGTGGGGAAGGCAGAGGGTTCGCCATGTGCTTGGACGATCTGCTGGTGCTCGGAAGGAGCGATGAGTCGAAGCACTGACTCCTGGGGAAGGGGAAGAAGGGAGAGGGAGGTGGGGAGGGGGGCGTGAGGTGGAAGGCAGACGGTTCGCCGTGTGCTTGGATGAAAGGGAGCAGTCAGTTTTGAGCGTCAGTTTTGCTGCTTGGACGGTTCGCCGTGTGCTTGGACAATTTACTGGTGCTCCAAAAGGGAGCAGCCAGTATAAGGGCACAAACCCTGGGGAGAGGGGGAAGGGAGGAGTGTGGAGGAAGGAGGGGGGGACAGATTGGTGGGTGCAGGTTTTGGGAGGGGGGGAAGCAGTAGGAGGAAACAAACGGTTGTATCAAAATGTATGCAACTGATAGAGCATACATGTTTGGTACACGTTCGGTTCATGTCCCGAGGTTAAATGCTATGAACCGTTACAAACCTCCCTCTCTTCTGTTTTTTTCTCGTTTTTATTCTAATGACAGACACGTACCAGCAGACTTATCCTCTTTTTGCGCAGCTGAACCGTCAATCCCTTCGCCCCTCTCCTTTTTCTTGCTCCATTCGCTGCAACACCAGCACCACCACCAGCAGCAGAACCAGCTGAAGCATCCATAGGACTTCCTCCTCCTTCCTCCTCCTCTCCATCCTCACTCCCTCCCTCCTGTCCGTCCTCCTGCTGCCCCTCCTCATCCCCGTTATTGGCATCTTCACTCTCCTGCTCTGCCTCTACTGCTGCCTCTATAGCCCAGACTTGCTTGTGCGCCAACAGTGCTGCCTTGTACCGTGCCCTCTGCAAGAAAAAAAAAACAGGAAAGGAAGGAGGGAAAGGGGAAATGAAGAGTGTGAATGGGAAAGGGTGAAACAAACGCGAGTACCAACGTAATATACCCACCTAATTTATGGCCCACACTGGCTTGTGCACTGATAGTCCTACCTTGTAGCGAGCCCTTGAAGCAAAAGAGCAAGGAAGTGGGAAGGGGAAAAGGAGGAGTGCAGATGGAAACACCTCGAGTAACCTGACACACAAAAGGTTACCTTTCGAAAAAGCACGAGAAGGTAACCTTCTCATGTGGAGGTACGGTAACCCTGACAGAGAGACACACCTCGCGTACCCAGACACACACGAGCACACGAGCTCACCTCCACACGAGATGACCCTCTATACACACGAGCTCACCTCCACACGAGATGACCCTCTATACACACGAGCTCACCTCCACACGAGATGACCCTCTATACACACGAGCTCACCTCCACATGGAAGAGCACGAGAAGCGTGCCGCATGCCCCCTCTGGCTGCCGCCGCCCCCTCCCAGAGAGAGGAGACATATGTACCACACATGAGCCCAGATGACACTCTATGCACACGAGCTCACCTCCACATGGAAGAGCACGAGAAGCGTGCCGCATGCCCCCTCTGGCTGCTGTGCCGTGCGGGTTAACAAGCAGCGCTGTAGCACTGCTCCCTCCCTGCCCCTCCAGGGGAACGCCAGCACCTCGGGCACTGCCTGGTGTCTCACTGCTAGCCAGAAGAGCTCCGATACAAGCACATCCACTGCTTCTGTATAAGCACCCTTGGCTGCTTCGTTAGTTGCACTCTCAGCAGCAGCAGCAGCAGCAGCAGCATCCGCACCATCAGCAGCAGCTTCAGTAGCATCAGCATATGGGTGAGGAGAAGAGGGGTCGCTGATATGTGGTTGCTTGCAGTAGGCTCTAAGGTACAGGAAAGCCTCTGTTAAGAGCCGATTCTCTATAAGCACTCGCAGCGCAGTAACCGCTTCCTCCAGAGGCACCGCCAGGTCCGGAAAAATGGGGGTTGCTAAGCCTGGGGTGCTGCTGGCTTGGAAGATTGCCGGGCCTGGGCTACAGGCTCGGAGGATCTGGAGCGCAGGCTCGGGCTTGCCTCGTTCGATCAAGACTCGAGCGATTCGGGGATGAATGGGAGGGGCCGCGGAGGAGGAGGAAGAGGAGGGAGAGGAGAGGGAGATGAGGTGGGGTATCAGCGAGCAAGCCTCCTGCAAGCGGATAGTGAAGGAGAAGGGGAAGGAAAGAGAAGAGGAGGCAGAGGAGAGGAAGATGAGGTGGGGTATCAGCGAGCAAGCCTCCTGCAGACAGAGAGAAGACGAGAGGAGAAAGGGGAGAGAAGAAATTGCAGAGCGATGAGAGGAATTTGGCAGCATCGTGTCAATCAACATAATCTCCGCCTCATGCCCAGCACCCATGTTCAAGCACCCATGCAAGCAGCACATGCAGCAGCAGATGCAGCATCGTCAAACACCTTCAGTCCCTCCTCTGTGCATTCATCCAGCATCACCATTGTCTCAACCGCGTGCCCATCACCCACGTCCATCCATGCAGGCAGGCAAGCACAGCTGCACCCACATGTAGCACCACATGCATCAAACACATACCTTTAATCCCTCCTCTGTTTGCTCATCCACCATCACCATCACCATCACCATCGTCTCCACCACGTGCCCGTCACCCACGTCCATGCTCGCACGCAGGCACGCAACCAGAGCTACTGTCATCTATCACCCCTCACCTCTAGTCCCTCGCCAGTGTGCTCATCCAGCATCACCATCACCATCGTCTCCACCACGTGTCCGTCGCCCACGTCCATGCTCGCCCCAAAGTCCTCCACCAGCCCTCGCCACCGCTGCTGCCCCTCGCTCTGCCCTCCCTGGTAGAAGCGATCAATGAGGTAGTATAGGAACTGGGGAACGGCAGGAGAGGAGGGAGAGGAGGGAGAAAGGAGAAGAAAGGGAGCAAAGGAGAACATCATGAGCCCAGGAACTGCCACCGCTGCTGCCCCTCGCTCTGCCCTCCCTGGTAGAAGCGATCGATGAGGTAATACAGGAACTAGAAGGAGGAAGAGGGAGCAGGGGGGGAGGGGGTGGGGGGAGGTGGTAGCAGAGGAGGTCACTCAATTGTCCTCCACCGGTCTCCACCGGTCTCCACCAAGTGGCCTTCACCCACGTCCATGCTCGTCCGAAGTCCTCCCCCCAGCCCCCGCCATCTCTGCTGCCCCTCGCTCTGCCCTCCCTGGTAGAAGCGGTCAATGAGGTAGTATAGGAACTGGGGAAATAACAGGCGGGGGAAACGTGGGGGAGAGGGGGCGGAAGAGGGGGAGAGAAAGGGGTCAGTCGTCCGCAGTCCTCCCCCAGCCCCCGCCACCACTGCTGCCCCTCGCCCTGCCCTCCCTGGTAGAAGCGACCAATGAGGTAATAGAGGAGCTGGGGCAGGAGGGGAAGGATGAGGGAGCAAGGAGAAGGGTAGTAGAGGAGGTTACTTAGTCTCGACCACTCATGGCCCACGCCATCGCTGCTGCTGCCCCTTGCCCTGCCCTCCCGGGTAGAATCAATCGATGAGGTAGTATAGCACCTGGGTGTACGGTTTTTGAGAATTCTAAAAAAGCATACGCTGTATAGCAAGCACCTGGGGCAGGAGAGTGAAGAAACGGAAAGATGGGGGGAAACGGGAGAGATACTAGAAAGTCAAAATGATAATAACAATGGAAATAATGATTATTATTATACTAATAACAATAACAATAGTAATAATAGTATTACTAACAATAATAACAATAGTAATAATAAACCAAAACAAACCAGAAATACTCACAATTGCTTTCTTGGCCAGAGCTAGATCAGCACCCGCCTCCAAAAACAAAAAATCGACCGCTGCCCGGAAATTCTCCGGAGGGTATTGAAACCCCGCCGCTGCTGCTGCTCCTCCTCCTCCACCCACTAACCCAGGACTCCCTCCCTGCAGGAGAAACTTCCCGGAAGCAGCAGGTGGGGTGGTGGGTACTGGTTGCTTGAGAGACAGCAAGTCAAGCTGGTCGCAACTCAACAGCGAGGGGGAATCAGATATGGGATTCGCACAAGATGCACCACTTGCGCTCTCCTTACTGCCTTCTCTGCTGCTTTCCTTGAGGCTGTCTATTGCGTCATCAATAAACAACAACTTCCCATTCTGCTGCTGCTGTTCCTTTGCCCCTCCCGCTCCCCCTCCCTTGCCTCCTCCCCCTCCCCCTGCTCCAAGCACGGAGCCAGCAGCGCCAGCAGCAGCAGATACGCCAAGGAACTCCGGCCAGGCTGTCTCGTTTGCCGCCTGCTTCCTCTGGCGAATCACGGCGCGCCACGTGGCGTGCGACGAGTGGCGGGGAGGAAGGCCCTCGAAGAATCGGTTCTTGGCAGCCCACTGCATCACGTCCAGATGCTGTTGAGTGGGGAAGCGGAAAGTGAGAGGGTTGGGGGAAGAGGGGAGAGGAGTGAGGAGGAAGAGGAAAGCGAGAGGGTTGGGTAGAGACAGGTAGAGAGAGGCCCTAGAAGAATCGGTTCTTGGCAGCCCACTGCATCACGTCCATTTTTTAGTCGACTCAAAAATCGACTCAAAAATCGACTCATCCCTCTTGGCAGCCCACGTGATGACTTTTGAGGCGCCTCAAAAGCCCACGTGATTCCCACGTGATGCAGTGATGCATCACGTCCAGATGCTGTAGGGGGAAGGGAAGGACAGAGGACAAGGGGGAACGAATGAGGAGAAGCGGGAAGTGAGAGGGAGGACAATGAGGGGGGGAAGGAAAGGCCCTCAAAGAAACGGTTCTTGGCAGCAGCCCACTGCATCGCGTACAATGCTGCAGGGAGGGAAGTGAAGGTAAGAAGGGGGCACGGAGGGTAGGAAGGAACAGAGAATGTGGGAACGGGGAGAATAAGTGAGGAGGAAGAAGAGGGCGGGGAGGAAGGCCCTCGAAGAATCGGTTCTTGGCAGCCCACTGCATCACGTCCAAATGCCCTCCCCACTGCCCTCCCCACTGCCCTCCCCACTTCCACTCTCAACCAAACTGTGCTGTCAAACGCCTACTGCTCGCACCTGGGATGCTCTTGCAGCTGCTTCCGCCACTCTCACCCACGCCCCTTGCACCCCTCTGTGGCCCCTCGCTTTTGAGTCGACTCAAAAGTCTGCTCGCTTTTGAGTCGACTCAAAAGTCTGCTCTCGCAGCTGCTTCTGCCACTCTCACCCACGCCCCTTGCACCCCTCTGTGGCCCCTCGCCCAACCTTTCCTCCCTTCCAAACCTTCCCCCTGCCCCCCCCCTCCAATGCGCTCACCTGGGATGCTCTTGCAACAGCTTCCGCCAGCCTCCCACTCATGCCCCTACCGCCCCTCCGTTCCCCCGCTCCCACCCCCTCCCCTCCCCCTCTCCCACCCCTTCCCCGTTTTCCCCCACTTTCCCCCTTACAATGCGCGCACCTGGGATGCTCTCGCAACAGCTTCCGCCAGCCTCCCACTCATGCCCCTACCGCCCCTCCGTTCCCCCGCTCCCACCCCCTCCCCTCCCCCTCTCCCACCCCTTCCCCGTTTTCCCCCACTTTCCCCCTTACAATGCGCGCACCTGGGATGCTCTTGCAACAGCTTCCGCCAGCCTCCCAGCCACCCACTCATGCCCCTTGCGCCCCTCCAGTCCTCCGCTCCCCCCTCTCCCCCCCTCCGCCTCCCCCTGCTGCATCTGCGCCTGCTGCTGCGCCAGGGGGTCGTCTGCGCCCTGCAGTGTTGCCAGCACCTGAGAAATCCCCTGCAGGCGCATGGCCAGGCAGGTGGCATCATCCATGCGACGATCAGTGATGCCAGAGGCGTCTGGAGGGAGGGAGGATTGGAGCAAAAAGGGAGTGAATTTGACTGATGGAAAAAGAATGCGAAGGAGGAGATGGAGTGGGCTGTGCGATCAGTGATGGCTGTGGCGTCTGGATGGAGGAGGGGGGATGGGGGCGGAAATTGGGGATGGGGGAAGGGTGAGGGGGGAAGGAGAACGTGGGGAGGATGGGGGAGAAATTATGAAGAGGGGGCTGCGGGGATAGGGGGAGTCACAACTGGTAAGGCAGGTGGAGTCACTCATTCGGCACTCAGTGATGCCTGTGACGTCTGGATGGACGGAGGATTGGAGCAAAAAGGGAGTGAATTTGACTCATGGAAAGTCAAAGGGAGTGAATTTGACTCATGGAAAGTCAAAGGGAGTGAATTTGACTCATGGAAAGTCAAAGGGAGTGAATTTGACTCATGGAAAGTCAAAGGGAGTGAATTTGACTCATGGAAAGTCAAAAGGAGTGAATTTGACTCATGGAAAGTCAAAGGGAGTGAATTTGACTCATGGAAAGTCAAAGGGAGTGAATTTGACTCATGGAAAGTCAAAGGGAGTGAATTTGACTCATGGAAAGTCAAAGGGAGTGAATTTGACTCATGGAAAGTCAAAGGGAGTGAATTTGACTCATGGAAAGTCAAAGGGAGTGAATTTGACTAGGCAGGTGGTGTCACTCATTCGACAATCAGTGATGCCTGTGACGTCTGGATGGAGGAGGGGGGATGGGGGGAGGGGAAGGTGTAAGTAAGAGGAGGAGGAGGAGGAGGAGGAGGAGGAGGAGGAGGAGGAGGAGGAGGAGGAGGAGGAGGAGGAGGAGGAGGAGGAGGAGGAGGAGGAGGAGGAGGAGGAGGATTAGAAGGAGGAGGGGAAGAGGACCACAAAGAACCACACAGAACTACTCAGAATCGCACAGAACCGCACTGAACTGCACAGTACTGTACAGGACCACACAGAGCCGCACAGAACTGCTCATAATCGCACAGAACCGCACAGAGCCACTCACAGAGGTCCCTGAGCGTCCTCTTGATCCCAGTAAAGGTCCTCTGCGCCCATTCGAGCACGAGCCTGGGGTCCAACAGGAGAGCCACTGCTGCTCTCAGATAGAACCACCCAGAACCGCCCAGAACCGCAGAGAGTTCAACGAAAGCACTTACATGGATCTCTGAGAGTCCATTTGATCCCAGTATAGGTCCTCTGCGCCCAGTCGAGCACGAGTCAGGGGTCCAACAGGAGAGCCAGCACTGGATCGCTGGAAACCGCTGCTGCTCTCAGTTGAACCACCCAGAACCGCACAAAACCGCAGAGAGTTCAACGAAAGCACTTACATGGATCTCTGAGAGTCCATTTGATCCCAGTATAGGTCCTCTGCGCCCAGTCGAGCACGAGTCAGGGGTCCAACAGGAGAGCCAGCACTGGATCGCTGGAAACCGCTGCTGCTCTCAGTTGAACCACCCAGAACCGCACAGAACCGCAGAGAGTTCAACGAAAACACTTACATAGATCTCTGAGAGTCCTTCTTATCCCGGTGAAGGTCCTCTGCGCCCACTCGAGCACGAGCCTGGGATCCAGCAGGAGAGAGAGCACCGGATCGCTGGAGACCGCTGCTGCTCTCAGATAGAACCACCCAGAACCGCCCACATCTACTTACATAAATCCCTGAGCGTCCTCTTAATCCCGGTGAAGGTCCTCTGCGCCCACTCGAGCACGAGCCTGGGGTCCAGCAGGAGAGAGAGCACTGGATCGCTGGAGACCGCTGCCTCGTCCATGCATACCTCCTCCACGTCTGATGGTGGTGGGGGAAGGGGGGGAATGGGGAGGGGGGAGCAAGGGGGAAGTGACACAGGGTAGGGAGAGCAGCAGGGAAAGCACCGGGTCGCTGGAGACCGCTGCCTCGTCCATGCATACCTCCTCCACGTCTGATGGGGACAGGAGGAGGAGGGGACAGGACAAGGTAAAATACGTATGAGGAGAGGTAGCGGTCTCCAGTGAGGAGAGGAGAGGCAGCAGGAGAGAGAGAGAGCGCCGGGTCACTGGAGACCGCTGCCTCGACCATCCATGCATACCTCCTCCACGTCTGATGGTGGTGGGGTGGGTGGGGGAGGAGAGGGGGTCAGGTATAGGGGAAAGATGGATTGAAAGAGAGGCAGGATGCAGTGGCAGCACTGGATCGCTGGAAATTGCTGCCTCGTCCATCCATGCAGACCTCCTCCACGTCTGTTGAAGGTTGGGGAGGGTTGGGGTGGGAGTGAAGGAGAGCGGCAGGAGAGAGAGCACTGGATCGCTGGAGACCGCTGCCTCGTCCATCCATGCACACCTCCTCCACGTCTGTTGAAGGTTGGGGGATGTGGTGAGAGGTGGGGGGGAAGAGAACGGGGGGAGTGGAGGGCCAAGGGAAGCAGAGAGCACTGTATCGCTGGAGACCGCTGCCTCGTCCATCCATGCACACCTCCTCCACGTCTGATGGTGGTGGGGTGGGGAAGAGGAGGAGCGAAAGATGGGTTGGAAACAGGGGAGGAGGGGGAAAACGAGGGGGGTTAAGACGGGTTGACTCGACACGGTGCGCGGAATAGTGCCGAGGAGAGGTGGGTCGAGGCAGGCAGGGGGTAACTCTTATGGGTTAACACGATGCAGCACTCACAGTGGCAGATGAGAGTGACGAGCCCGCGGTCCAGCGCAATGTCAAACAGCGCAAACAGCCGCCGCACGTCCATGGGACACCCCTGAGCGTCCGCCCCCAGGCCCCCAATCCCCCCTCCGCCTCCCCCTGCTGCTCCCCCTGCCGCTCCGCCCCCCCATCCGGAGTCTTTAACCACGTCTTTGAGAGGGCTGACAAGGCCAGCATCTACACAGGAGTCGTATAGACGGATGTGAATCCGCTCGCCGGACTGCCGCGCGGAACCCCCTTCCCCTGCTGCTACTCCTGCAGCAGAAGCAGCAGCAGGGGAAGCTGCAGCAGCGGAAGCAGCAGCGGAAGCAGGGACGCCGATGGGGCAGCGGCAGACGGGGCAGGCGGAGCAGCGCTGGGCGCACTCCCCGCAGAGGCAGGCGTGGCGGCAGGGCAGCAGGCAGTGGTGCACGGTGCGCCCACACGGCCTCAGCTCGCGCATGGCTCGGCACCTCTCCGCTCTGGCTTCTAGAGGGAGGGCTCTTGCTGGGGTGCTTGCCAGGCGCAGCAGCACTTCCTGTTTGGGGGAGGGGGGGATGGTTGGGTCAGTGGTACACGGTGCGCCCACACAGCCTCACCTCCCGCATGGCACGGCACCTCTTCGCCCTCGCCTCCAAAGGCAGGGCCCTCGCAGGGGTAGCAGCCAGGCGCATTTGTACTTCCTGTTTGGGGGAGGGGGGATGGTTGAGTCCAGGGCACGCAGTGGTGCACGGTGCGCCGATACGGCCTCACCTCCCGCATGGCACGGCACCTCTCCGCCCTCGCCTCCAGAGGGTGGGCCCTGGCGGGAGTCAGAGCCAGGCGCAGCAGTAGCATTTCCCAGGCCAGCCGCGCAGAGAAATGCTAATGATTTGAAATACTTCTCAGGCTGGTAAGATCTATCCGGCTGGTAGGTTTTATCAGGCTGGTGGCATTTATCAGGCTGGAAACATTACGAGAATGGAGTACTACTACAGTGCGAGTTTTAGATTCCTAGGAGGTCACTGACCACATACGGTCGGAATCACCTCGCGATTCCATACAGTGTACCCGCAGCATCTAGCACCCGCACTTTACAGTGTGCCTCACATTTTGATACAGTGTGCCCGCCGTCTAGTATCATCTGCACTCTAATGGCTGCTTCGCGTTGATACAATGCTGACGGCGGTGGTATTGGCGTGGACTCAAGACTCGTTTCTAAGGGTAAACTCTACACAGTGTGGCTGCCGTACCTTCCCTCAATTGACTGCCTCGCGATTCAATAACGTGTGCATGCCGTGCCTGCCGACGGGGTTGACTTCGGACTCAGTGCACCCTGCCATTTCTAGGTTAACCCGTTACAAGGTACTGGTCATTCTTCGGTCCTAACCGTACATAGAGGAACTCTAAACAGTGTTTTCGCCGTACCTGCTGACGGCGGTCCATGATCTCCGATTTGGACCCGGCAATCAAGAATCCAACGGTGGACGTTAGATCGAATCTGCAGTCCGTCCGATCCAACGATCAGCAGCCCGACGACTGTTCCGAAACGACGGGAAACTCTGCTCGAGATTAGTCTGATTGATGGTTGAGGCCAACTCGCGAGTGACTAAAATTCTAATTGTGAGAAGCCAATGTTTTGTGATGGGCTGAGCATCGACTGCATGGCTGCTGAAGCTGACGCTGGCGCTCTTGGCACATAGGGACAAACGAAAGCCGTGACTCATAGCCGAAGCAAGTTCAAAACGCGAGTGTTTTATTCGTAGAAGTAAATTCGGCTTTGTATGGTTTGGTCGGGTGCAATGTTTTTATGTTTCAAAATTCCTTTTCCTTACTTCGCATCCCTGCTCAACGCGTACATCACTGTAGCACCACAGTCAGCACCGTTACCACTCGCAATCCTCGCATCGACAATCCGCCCGCCACCTTCGCACGCCGCATCCCGACCTCACGGCTCGGCGGGTAACCCGCGCTCCGGGCCTCCGCTTCGACACTTTTCCCAACCTCAGTCCAAGGCCCGTCGCGCGACAACCACAGTCCATTACCGTTACCACTGTAGTTTCGCTATATATTCTTCGCTCATGCCTTCGCTCATTGTACTCTTGCTTCGATAGTGCAATTCTCGTTCGTTCACTCAATTGCACTCGTAACACTTGGTATTCAGAGCCTACGATCTCTTCTCGGACCGCACCCACACCTTCGCTTCCCCACTATCTCAATTTTTGGGGGGGGTAGACGTCTCTCAGCGACACAGCACCGCCGCTCGTAGTGCTCTCTCGTAAGCACGCACGGCCACGACCGAGGCTCTCGCTGAGCTCGCCCGACACCCCCGCCATGGCCGAATTCACACTCGCCACATTGACGCAGGAGCAGCTCGACCGTCTGGTGCGCCAACTTGAAGATTCGGCGCTCGAAATTGCGACGCTCACGGCGGAACGTGACTCCGCGCGTCAGCAATCGACGATGAACACTCCAGCGCCACCACACGCACCGACAAATGCATCTGCACAATCGGACGACCGATCGTCATCTCGTCCGGCACACCAACACAAAACAACAGCATGGGACAGCGCTCAGGCGCAGCCAGTGATGGCACCGCCCAGCCGATGCCTGGCATGGGAGGTAACAGGGTCGCACCAAGCCCGCGGGAGCCTCGCGAAGCCCGTCGGCACGTGGAGTTCGCGGCGACAAGTGACGAGCAGACCATTATGGCACCAATGTCACTCAAGCCGCAACGCCCGCCCTGCTTCGACCCGAGCCAGCGTGGAGGTCCGACGGTTCAATCGTGGGTCTTCACGATGAACGTCTTCTTCGACGCAAATTACGTCGAGTCGGACGCAGCGAAGATTCGGTATGCAGTTTCGCTGCTAAGGGGCCCCGCCATGGACCGGTGGCGAGTCATCGTGACGTCGCCACGCGCCTACGAGCCACCGTCGCAAGAGGAAGGGCCCACGGGCCCAGCTGTCACCTGGAGTTCATTCTGCGAGACCGCCCAATACAGCACGTGGGATGTGTGGTGCGCAGGGCTTCGGGCGCGCTTCGAGCCGATCGCGGCTTCTATTTCGGCGCGTCAGAGATTGCGCACTTGGCGGCAGCTCGGATCGGTTCAAGACTATACGAGTGGTTTTCTCGCATTATGCGAGCAAGTCGGCTGTCAGAACATATATATAGCTTATGCTGTTGTGTAGGCTATAGTGGGGTATCCCATAGGGGGTACAACCCAATTAGGGTTTCCTATATGTACTCACTTCATTCATAGTTCATTCATTCTCGTTCTCATTTTCACATGGAATCAGAGCAGGTCCCCTCCTAGGGACTGTTCCTTGGGCCCACCGAAACGCGCCTCGAGTCGCGCCTGCCCTTTTTTTTTATTTTTTTTTTTTATATATATTTTTTTTTAGCGGCCCGTCGAGTCGCACCTAGCGGCCCGTAGCGCCGCCCTTACAGTCGCGTCGAGCCGCCATAGCGGCTGCGGCGCGCCGCCCCTTTTCCCGGCCCGTCGCCGCCCTTACCCGCGGCTTTACGCCGCCCTCACCGGTGGCTTCGCGCCGCCTCTTACCTGCGGCCCCGCCGCCTCTCTCGTTGCGGCCCCGCCGCCCGTCTTCGCGGCCCCGCCGCCATCTCTCGCTGCGGCCCCGCCGCCACTCACTGCGGCCCCGCCGCCCGTCTTCGCGGCCCCGCCGCCTCTCTCGCTGCGGCCCCGCCGCCTCTCACTGCGGCCCCGCCGCCCTACTCAGCGGCCCCGCCGCCCGACTTCGCGGCCCCGCCGCTTCTCTCGCTGCGGCCCCGCCGCCTCTCTCGCTGCGGCCCCGCCGCCTCTCTCGTTGCGGCCCCGCCGCCCTTCCCTGCGGCCCCGCCGCTTCTCTGCAGCGGCCCCGCCGCCCGTCTTCGCGGCCTCGCCGCCTCGCTACGTCAGCGGCCCAGCCGAGCCGCCCAACAGCAGCGCAGCCGAGCCGCCCAGCAGCAGAGCAGCCAAGCCGCCCCGCCGCCGAGCCGCGCTGCAGCCGAGCCGCCCGGCCGCCGAGCCGCCCTGCCGCCGAGCCGCCCTGCTGCCGAGCCGCCCGGGAGCCGAGCAACCGAGCCGCCGTGCAGCCGAGCCGCCCTGCTGCCGAGCCGCCCAGCCGCCGAGCCGCCCTGCCGCCGCTACATGCACGAAGCGGAGCGGGTGGACCGTTACGTCGGAGGGCTGAAGCCGGACATCTCGCACGAAATCATGCTACGCGGGCTCTCGAACTTCAACGAGATTCTCGCGCTCGCCGAGAAAATCGACATTTTACGCCGTCCGAGACCGGGGTCCTACTATGGACATCGTCCTCGGGGACCGATCGAGCACGCCACTGTACACGCTGTTGCGACGAATGCAGCCGCCGCGCCGTTTAAGGGGCGCTGGTTTGCTTGCAACAGGCCGGGCCATCGCAAGAGCGAATGCTCAGAGGAGCTAAGGCGCCGCGGAGCAGAGCAGGGGAGGGAGTCTCCAAGGCAGGGAAACGCCAGCAGTCAGTAGGAATCGGGCCAACTACTGACGAGACTGCCTGCTCGCCCAACCCCACCGACCCTCACCGAGTCACAGTACCGATTCATGCTATCGATCGGACTCGGACGAATAAGGAGGGTACAGCGACGGATTGCCCAGTACTGATCCACGGGAAAATACAGGGAGCAGCAGTGAAGATTTTTATCGACGGAGGAGCAAGCCACAGTTTAGTTAATACCGCAACCGCACGAAAACTGCAGCTGACACTTAGCCGTTGCTTACCGGAGATAGACGCACGCTTAGTCGACGGCACGCCACTGGCCATACGGGAAAAGGTAGAGAGAGTCAAAGTCCGCTGTGGGGGAAATTTCGGGTTTACACAGGAAATGCTCGCAACGACACTGGATGGACACGATATTTTACTGGGACGTGATTGGCTGCGACGGTATAACCCGCGAATTGACTGGACGACGGGTAGCTGCACCGTGCGAAGTAGTGGTAACTGGGTCGAGCTAATATCGCTGGCAGTCGCCCGAGTCTTCAACGGTACACGTCAACGCAATCACAATGAAACGGGCTGTCGCTGCTGGAGCTGACGTGTACGCATTAGACATCGCAGCAGTAGAGGAAGCAGAGCAGCCGAGTGATATCAAGAAACTGCTGGCAGCCGTACCGCCCGAATTACAAGCACTGTTGAAACGATACCCCGGGATTTTCCCCGACGACTTACCGGAAGGACTGCCACCTCAGCGAGCACATGACCACCGAATCGAATTAGAACCGGGGGCACAGCCAACCGTACAGCGCCAGTTCAGACTGACACAGCCCGAGCTCGACGAACTAAGGAAGCAGTTAGATTACCTGTTAGAGAAGAAATTCATCCGACCGAGCTCGTCACCGTTCGCCGCACCGATACTGTTCACGCCGAAAAAAGACGGGGGTTTTCGCATGTGTATAGACTACAGAGCACTGAACAGGGTAACAGTCAAGTCGCGGTACCCCATTTCCCGCGCCGACGAACTGATCGACCAACTGCGAACAGCACGAGTTTTTTCAAAAATAGATTTACGTGGAGGTTACCATCAGATTAGGGTCGAACCATCGGACTGCACCAAAACAGCTTTCAGGACTAGGTACGGGTCGTTCGAGTACACTGTGATGCCATTCGGGCTGACCAGCGCACCGGCGACTTTTCAGATGACCATGAACGAGGCATTTAGGCCGCTCTTAGATAAATGTGTAATAGTTTACCTCCACGACATCCTAGTTTACAGTCGGGATAAGCAGCAGCACTTAGCAGATCTAGAAGCAGTGTTTAGGGTTTTAGACGAGCACATATTACTGACCAAGGGTTCCAAGTGCGAGTTCTTCCAGGATAGGTTAG